AAACAGCAGGTTATCTAAAAATAAATTGAAAATATTCCCATAAAGAAAAAATTATTCAAAAAAATTGACAATGCATATCTGCTTGGTCAACTCATCATTCTCCATCTGAAGATATAGAAACAAAAGAAAGTTTCTATTTTAATTTTCCATTTCTGATACCTTACAGATCTTTTATCTAATTTAATATATATATATACATATTATCTTAAAGATATACAAATGGCAATGGTACACTTGATTCATTTGCTTCTTTTTGGCGAACTGTTGCCAATACATTTGTTAATCGATCCTCTGTTCTTGGTTATGAATTACTTAATGAACCATCATTTCCTGAACTTGCTGAAGTCATTGAAGTAGGAGATGTTGATCGAATTTATTTAGCACCTATGTATAAAAAATTACATGAAGTTATTCGTCAAGTCGATGATAAGCATATTATATTTTTTGAACCATGTGTTGCAGATCTTTTTCAAACAGGACTTAAAGAAGGACCTGGTGGTGTTGATTATAATGATCGCCAAGCATTTAGCTATCATGTTTATTGTATTGATGTTACAAAACAAGGTGATCCGAAATCCGATGTTATTTGTGATATAGATGATGCGCTACTTATTGCTTTACGGTATCAAGAAGCTAAGAAAAAGAAATTCGGTGGAATGATGTTAACAGAATTTGGTGCTTTAATTAATTCTACAGAAGGCATTAAAGAAATTCATCGAATAACAGGATTAGCCGATGAATTTTTGCAAAGTAAACTTGAATAATGACATCCCTAGTCTTCAAAAAAAAAACAACAAGTAATTATATTTTTGTCTCATTTATTTAGGCTGGTCATATTGGCAATTCAAAAAATATCAAGATTTGACAACAGCAGCAAGTCCAGCAACAGCCGAATCATTCTATACTGAAGATGGTGAATTAGAAGTGAATAAAGTAAAAGCACTTTCACGATCATATGCACAAGCCATTGCCGGTATTATTTATTATTGTTGCTTGTTTGGTTCTTTTTTATTGTAATTATTTTTCTTTAATAAGGTCAACCAATATTTATGTACTTTGAACCAATATCGTGTAATTTTGTGTTAGATTTCAATATTAATACAGATATTAAACAGCCAACAATTGTGTATATAAATGAAGATTTAAATTATCCACATGGTAATGTTATCAAGGTATCACCAGCTGATTCATTAACATGGACAGCAACTAGTCGAAATTATTACGAGTTTTCAACAACGACATCAACAAAAAATGGTACAACAATTACTATTCAAATAACACCGAAAACTCTAAATTGGTTTAATCGAGCTTGGTATTGGCTTAAAAAGAAAATTTCCTTTTGGAATTAATAACGGATTCATTAATAAAAAGAAATTTAAATATATTTCAAATATTAAACACTATTTTAAATTAACCTAAAACCATTCTATAGTTACATCTATTGTCAAGTGAAAATGATTTTTCTGTTGATAGATAAAAAAAGAATCATAGAAAGTATATTGTTACGATTAAATTGAATATCTTTAACGTTATCTCCTTTCATTATCATAATATCATAGAGAAACAAGAACAAGAAAATTTTTACAACTAGCAATCAATTCTGACCCTAATGCAAAAAAATATAGTAGTATATTCATGTATAATTATTTATACTGATGAAGACCACTGAAAATTATTTTATATATATTTTTTTTCCTACAAAGTTCATAAAACAATACTGCAAGTAGAGGTGTAGGCCGATTGACTAAGCCATAAGCGTCGTTGATGACCGAAGACTTCTGTAGATATATCAACCGGTGTTGTCAATGTTCGAAATAATTGCTGAAGACTTCAGGTACCGCAACGCAAAAATATATGTTTGATCTTTTAAAACTTTCCACGTCGTAAATCGGTTCTTGTTAATAAGTTCTATACCATCGTTTTCTCTTTTACATGTCAAAATTTGTCGAAACCAAGAGACTTTTAAAAATTCATCAATAAGTTTCAGCCACCACTGCTACCGTTCAACTGAATATCTGTTTTATCAAAATCTTAATTGATTTACCTGTTTCGTCGAAAAACTAAATCGTAATGAAAAAAAAGCTGGATCAAATCAAATAGCTTAATTCCTTTGAATGTCTTAAACAATAATTTTTCTAAAGAAATTGATTGAGGGTGTGTATGGATGCAGATGTGAACGTTTCGTTCGCTCAAAGCTACATCCTCAAGCTTTCGACGAAATAGAACCTAACCAAAAGAAACATGACTTATTGCGCAATCCATATGTAACATTCATTTCATTAATTATATATAAGGACAGACAGTTCGCAGAAAAGAGAACGAAAGATTCATTGAACACCAATCAGGACGCAAACATAAGTCGAATAAATGCAGATATATCGAAGAATGACTTCGATAACTTTTTTCTTGTAAAAAAACAGCTTTCTTTTTGAGGTCTGGATGGGGGTGAGCAATAGTGGTATACAATGGCTTGGACTAGCTTGAATTGGAATGTTCAAAATGGTATTTGGTTTTTTTATCAAAGATTTTTTTGTTAAAGCAAATGAATTGGAGTGAAACCTCATGCATGTAGAATTCGAAGCTCTATCGATTAATAATATCTTCAAGCTAAACAGCAGACGAAGCATCTTTCACTAATACTTCTAATAACATAACTGTTAATATAAATAAGGATAGAAAACAAACTTTCAAGTATTTAATACTGCAATATCAGTATAATTAATAAGTAAATGTATAGCTTGAAATAATTATAGTAAGAATAATTACAATATGAAATCTTCCATCTTTAACGATGCGTTCATTATCAGCAACAAGAAATCATTTGTGACTAAGTGTCTACTTTTATTTCAACACAAACATTAACAAAAAACAAAATATGAATATATCAATAGAATTCTTAAAGGTTGAAAATTTCAACATATTCTACAAATATTTAAATTAAACTGCATAATTTATACTTATTGTTATTATCCTTAGTACAATTATTCCAAGGCCAACCATTTGTTTCAAGATTCTTTTTTCGCTCTCTTCTTCTTTTTTTTCTTGCGTTCTGCATTGATCTGTTAGGCTTTCCAATCTGACGTCTCATTGACTGCTTTTAAACATTGAAAGTCACATCTATATCACGATAGTACATTTTCTTCAAGAACACATAAAAGAAGAGAGCAGGGAGAAGTATTTCTATACTAGTTGATATCAAATAATCATCTACCATTATTGAAGAAGAATGAGTTTCAATATGCAAAACGGTAGTCATGATACATATAAACAAAATAGTAAAATCAACATCATGCATCAAACTAGTGCATATAATAACAATCAATCAACAATAGTTGAAATAGATCAAATGGATTCATCTTTTCTCATACCATCATCATCATCGTCACGTTGTTCAACCTGTATTACAATCACGGTTTGTTTTGGTGCCATAATTTTTATGTTGGTTGTCGATTTCTTCATCATGTTTTTTTTTTGACAAAAAAAACATATTTAAAAATGAAACGTAATTATTTGTGTTTCTGTATGAGTTTTTTGTAACAGCTTTCTATGCACGCAGTATTTATCTTCAAAAAAAGTGCGTATAATATCTACAGCATAAAAAAGAAATGAAATTTTGTTTTCAAATAAAAATATAGAATAGCAATACAAGAGCTGAAAAAAAATCACTTCAAGCATCTTTGATAGGTGACATCAATAAAACAAAAAAGTTGTTAAATAGCGAAGACGCATTCAACAACGATTCTACTAATGAATTGCAAATAGATGAAAACAAATAATTTTAAGAATGTGTTTTCTATAAGCGGTAATTTGAACATAAAAATGATTGAGTTAACAGCAGCTTTCAAATTTTATTTATTCATCATTTATCTTTTAATATTCATGAAGTTTGATAATAGGATAATGAGAATAAAATAAAATTGTATTTATTTGTTTTTTTCTTTCAATTATTATGTCAACATTTAGCCAGTTCAACTGTCATTTTCAAGATATGTTTTTACAAAGAATAATAAACATAAGAATATAAAATATGAAGAATGAAAATAACTCAGTCATCTGCTCGTTTTACCGACCAGAAACCCAATAGACGACTAAACTCTGTTTTTTCTTCATATCATATGTTCTTATGTTTATTGTTCTTTGTGAACACATATCTTTGCTAAATGTTGACATAACAATTGAAAGAAAAAAAACAAATAAATACAATTTTATTCTATTCTATTCTCATTATCTTATAATCAAAGTTAATGATTATTAAAAAATAAATCATAAATAAATAAAATTTGGAAGATATTGTTAACTAAACCATTTTTATAATTTTAAGTTTTTCGTTTAAGACTTTGGTATAGAAGACGCATATAGAATTTTCTTATACCGAAACAGCCATAGTTGAAAACCACAATTAAGGATAAATTCATTTCTATTCCTTCAGAATGGGACTCTTTTTCGCAAAAAATATATTAAAACACGGAATTATTTTTTATTTCTAATCAGCATTAGTGATCTTTCAAAGATTGGTACTAAAGTATATATATGTTGCTCGTATCTAATCATAGAACAGTGCCAGTCAGATCAATCAAAAGTACTACTTCGGATACACCAATTCCAATACCAATGCTTAACTTGAAATTGCTGCATCCATAAGCATTTCGCTTTAATAGATTCAATACAATCAATATATAATACATCATTGATTTATTATTGATAGTTTTATAACTGTAAAATAATAGGAAATCAAATATTTGTCTTAGTTTACTTTTTTTTTTCGATAGACTTATTCTATTTAAATATATGTTTATTTATGTTGTAGGCACTCTAAAATATTATTCTATTAATTAAATGAAATAGTTTTCAAAAATAGTTTCTATTATCTCATCATATTTAGATTAATATATGTTATAAGCTTTTTTGTTTTAGAAATAAAATCTGTACCTGTAATTGACATGCAGGTAAATTAACATCAGTAATCATTTCTGTACAAGGATGTTCAACTTGTAATCGAGGGTTAAGTTCAAGAAAGAAAAATGTTTGATCATTTGGATTAAATAAATATTCAACTGTACCAGCACTAGTTTTTTTTTTCGAAAAACAAACATCCATGCAATAAATTGAATTATTCAAAAGCTAAACTAAACTAACCTAACATAACCAACCATTTTTGCTAAACGTACAGCTGCTTTTTCCATTTTTTCAAGAACTTCAGATGGTGCTATAACAGCTGGTGCTTCTTCAATAATTTTTTGATGACGTCTTTGTATTGAACAATCTCGACCAAATAATGATATAGCTTGTCCACTTTGATCAGCAAGAATTTGTACTTCCAAATGTCGACAACTATCAGCATATTTCATTAGAAATATAGGTGAACCTCGTACTTCCATTTGAACCTAATTTATAAGAATATTAATTTAAAAACTAAATCAAAAAGATTTCTTTGTTTTACTTGTCGAAAAAGATTTTCAAAATCATCTCGACTTGTAGATTTTCGTATTCCTTTACCACCACCACCTTCTGAAGCTTTAATCATTACAGGAAAACCAATTCGAATTGCAACCTAATAAAACAAAATGATATATTGTTTTGTATTTTTTGATTTTTTCAAATAAAGCAATATGATAGATAGAATCTTACTTATAGACCCTTTTTGGAATCATTAACACATGCTTGTTCATATAAATCCATTGGAACATTAACATCATCACTATCATCTTCTTTGTATGTAAGTGTAAGATCTAATATATATATATTCAAATAAACTTTTAGTTTTTCTTTTCTTTTTAATCATAGAATAAAAAGACATCAGTTTTCGATATCTTTTTTTCCAGCTGCATAACGTACAAATTTATCTTTTTATTTAGTTATATAATATATCTATGTAATGACGTTGCATTTCGACATGATACTCATAGGATTAATTCCATGATTATATCTATTATTGGAACTAGTCTTTCCTTGTCATTCTCTCTCGTATTGCACCATTCGAAGTCAGATTTAGACCAAAGTCAGCACATTATTGATATTTGTTTTATATGTATAAGTCCAGAGCTATTAAATTTATGCGACTTAAAAACACATAGAACTTCCTAAAATATTCATCAACAGAATCGAAAACCAATGTTTTGCAAAAAGCTTTATCTCAAAATGAAGATGATGTATTAAAAAGAATGCTTAAAACATTATGCCGATTTTTAATTTTTTTATTTTAAAGATTTAAGCTCTGCGTTAGTTTATTTTAGTCATCTAACATAAATGAGTTAAGGTACACATCAAGGATAAAATATTCAAGCAAAGAAACTTCAATACAAAGAAAAGGATAAAAAATTTCATTATGCTTGATTATTTAACGACTAGACTTTGATGGGTCAACAATAATAATAATAATAATAATAATCAAAAAACATGTCACTCGTCTTCTGTTTTTGCTTCAGCATATAATCCAACACGATTGCGATACCATGTTCGACCAATTTGATCAGGTGGTGTTTTTTCAACTAATTGTTTTGAATCTTGCTCACGTTTATAGGTAAAACGATAATCATATAACCATGCGCGTATATATTTTGGTGGTTTATTACGAAATGGTTCAGGTAATCGACCAAGTAATGCTAAAACAGCTTGATTATGATCAAGAATACGTTGCAAAAATACGTCGAACCAATGTGGTGGTGGAGCACCACGAGCTGCATCATTTGGTAAAAACCTAAATATAAAATAAATATTCTTTTCTTCTTATTAACTAGAATAAAAATTTGTCATTTTACCAAAGTCTCCAATCAAGATTAGGCATATGACAAAATGGTACAATAGCTAAACGTTTATTTATATTTGATGGTTTATATTTAAATTCATATTCATACCAATCTGATCCATTATCACTTCCTTCAATAATAATTTCCCAACGACGTTTTGTCATATGAGCAAATTTAACATAACGTCCACAAAGTCGTATTGGTGATAATAAATCATAACCATATTCAGACCAATTCATTATATAATTCCACGGTATTAGAAAATAACGTTGAAAATGTTTATTATAATATATAGATTGTGTTAATATTAATGGACGAGTTGAATAACGAATGAATATTGGCCATGAAAATGGATTTTCCTCACGAAATGTTGACCATAATGGTATAAGTGATATAAAAAAATAAGGCAAAGCAATACATATCCATGGTAATAATTTAAATGGCCATGCTATTGAATATGGTGGAATTGATGTATATTCCAGAAATGAAATGATAAATTCAAATGGAATTAATGAACGCCAAACATTATCATTTAAAAGTAAAATCATTTCTGTTATTGTTAACGGTGCCAGATGAGCATAATTTCCTGTTATATTAATTCCCAATAAAATCAGTAAAAAGAAAACATATGAAATCCAACGTGTTATTTGCGGTGTGTAACAAAGTAATGCTCCTATGCCTTCACTAATATATGTAAAATATGTTTCCATTTTATGAATCGAAGCTGACATTCGATAAAAAATTGGTGATAATGGATTAGGTAAAGGTCTACAACAGACAGATTTTTTTTTTGTTCAGAATAAATAAATAAAAAGACCTTGTCAGATAGGATAACCATCCGTCATTTGAAATGTCACTTATACTGTTTTGTCGAGCAACTCGTGACACATTGAATAGCATGTAGGAAATAGTTTGTTTATAAAGTTTGTATATTCAGAGAAGCCGTATACCAAGTGAGATATTATTATTGCAATTGTGAGCGATATTATCAAATATTAGGAGTCGGTGTGTTGTTCGTATCCAAAACCTAAGCATTTTGGCTAGCTTCTGTAACTGTTGGCCTCTATGAGGTTTTAAATTCTTCTAAATTGCTTGTAAGGATACAAGTGATTAACTATGCAGATTTCTCAGAAATTGTGTGTCATCAAGTTCTGTAAGTAAACCAATTGATTGTTCTCTAAATCGATGTGCATCATGGTTCAATCAGTCAATCAATAACTAAAAAAAGCCAATTTTTCGATTCTTAAAAGCAGAAATGGTATGTGAATTTTGCAATGGATACTTTTTAAATGAGAACATTTCTATCTATTATTGATAATTTCCTCATGTCCTTTCATTTGACATAGATGGATGTTTCGAAAATGGCAAAAAGATTTTTCACTTTTGGATCCCTTGAGGAAAAGACAAGAATGAACTATCACACAGATTAGTTTTCGTTGTATTTAGTTTCTTACGAATTTAGATTCTGACTAGCTAGGTGTGACTAGAGTATGAAGCTCTATTCGGGTCCAATTTATGTTCAGTCTCATACGAGAATTAAATATTTTGCATATGTTCATAGCCCTTGAAGAGGTCTTAAATGAAAAAATACTTTTTGCCATTTTCAAAACACTCATATATGTAAAATGAAAGAGTACATAATGAGCTTCTTATTAATAGATAGAAAATTTTTCACTGAAGAAGTATTTATCACAAAACACATACAGTTTCCTATTCTTAAGGATCGAAAAGCTGCTTTTCTTTAGGCATTGCTTGGTCGATTTGTTCATGACGCACATCAATTCAGAGGACAATCAATTGATATATTTATAGAGATTGGTGGCATACAATCTCAGAGAAACTTCCATGACTCGTCGTTTGTGCCCTTAAGAGCAGCATAGAAGAATTTCAAATATCATAAAAGCGAAAAATTACATAAACTAGTATCAATGCTAAAGACTTGGACAGGAAAAAGTTTTTATAACTATTATCAGATATACGCGATTAGAGATGAGAAATAATTGTATTGAAGTAATTTCAAACACAATTTTATATAGATTAGTTTGAAGCAGAGTTGGAACCGGACCGGCCAGAACCGGATTTTTCCCAGTTCATCATTACAAAATTGTTGTTAGCATCCAAGAATTTTCTGTACTGAAAATGATTTTTTTATGATATTTTCAAGTCAGAAGAATGTGTTTGCGAAAGACTCAATAGATATTTTGTCTTCGACTTGACTATAAACGATTGATTGTTCTCTTTATATCTCTATCGATTTCTTTCTCGTGTATCGCTCAATTGAACCTTGATCAAATAATTTATTCTCTTGTTGTACTTAGGCAGCTGCCTGAATCAAGAAAAATAAAAATTTACATTTTTATGTTAGATGTGTTATAAACTTGCTTTTTTTTTTTCTTTTTTGAAATTAAGATGAAAAACAGATTTGATCTGAATAGCTAATTTATATCGATGTCGGGCTCGAAAAGTCGACGCACCTTGCTATAAAATATGAAGGGAAAGTTTCAGTCCCAAGTTTTAGTTTCCAGTTCGGATTAAGGGTGGCGATTTGTTGTTAATTTATTATAATTTTAAATTGGATTTACATAAATTTAAATTTTTTAAAATTATTTCAATTTATTTCAATCCAGTTTAAATCAGTATAAATTCGATGTAAACCAAATAAAATTCAATTTAAATTCATTTAATTGGATTTAAATCCTATATGAATTAATGTAAATGGATTTAAATCCAACTAAATGAACTTAAATTGAATTTTATTTGATTTACATCGAATTTATATTGATTTAAACTGGATTTAAATAAATTTAAATAATTTTACAAAATTTAAATTTATGTAAATTCAATTTAAATTCGAAATAAATAAAACTTTTTAAAAATTTATTTTTAATTTAAATTTCTTAACATTTATTTTTGGATTTATTAATTTCTCGTAAATGTAAATTGATCACCCCTAGTTAGAATTTCTGCATGTGAATATTCAATTCCCCTTCGCCAACATTGTATGTTGACAGATACTTTTATAGTCGGTTATTTTCACCGGATTTTTTGCCAGTTTGGCTGTAAAATTCGTTCGGTCGGTTGCTGACCGGACCGGACCGGACAGAAAAACCTGTCCGGTTCCAACTCTGGTTTGAAGATATAGTGACTTCTAACATTTGATAATATCACTCACAATTACTATAATTTATTCTTAATTGGTACACAGCTTCTCAGAATATTAAAACTTGATGAAAAAGTGAATTTCTACATACGTTTTGCTGTGTCATTGTTTGGTCTACAAAATGGTATAGGTAGCTTTGATAAATCAAGGGTGGTTATCTTATTAGACAGGATTCTTTATTGTATTTTACTGAGTCCAATAATGCCACAACATCGCTGAGCCATCTTTCCAACTTCGATCTCCACCTGTATACTAAAATTAAATTAAATGATAAACATAAATTTTTCCTTTTTTTGTTTATGATTCTTTTACTTTTCCCACAGCACCACCAAGCATAATACGAAATAGAAGTGTCCATTGAATAAAAACAAATACTTCAGGTTGTGCAGCAAGAAATGGTGAACATAATACATAAAGCATATTTGTTTCTAATAAATTTGAATGCATTTGTAAACCCATAAATGTTGTTGATACAGTTACTAGTGATGAATAACAAAGCCAACAGCCAAGAAAACATATACCTATTGGAATAATTGCAAAAAATGCCATTATTGAACAAATTATTCCTATCCAATGAAGTGCCAAAAGAAAATTGTCGGAATCCGAAATAATTAAACAAAGTGTTGGGCGTTGAAAAAATGTCATTTTACGTTCTTTCCAATAGCGAACGAAACTATATGCAGGTAATATACCAGTACTACCTATTTGACCGCGCCATTGTGATAATGATGAAAGAAATGCGGCCAAATTAATACAAGCTAATGTACGTTCAAAAAGTGAAAGAGATAAATACCACGGTTCGTTAAATAACATTTTTCTCTGCAAAAATAAAATAGAATGAAAATTAAAAATGTCTCTTTTTTATGTGTGAACGAGAATGTTTGTTTATATTTAATGAGAACAATTAAATGAAAATAATCATATCAAACAGAAAAAAAGCAAAGAGTGATGATAATTATAAAAAATTTACGATATCACATTTAATACAAAAACACTAATGAAAGAATATTCATTGAAACTAATGTTTCCTTCTGTTTATATTATCAAATTATAAACAGATAACAAAACCATAACATAAGAAGGAAAACAAAAAAACCAGAATCAAAGCATTTATCATATTTTGTGATAAGGGTATTAATTGTCACTTAGTTGTTTTTGTACTGTTCAAAAGTCGGTTTAATTCAGAACGTTGTTCATCAGTTGTATTTACTAATATATCCGATACAAGATCAGGATATGTTTGAAGTAATCTTTAAAATGAACAAAATATAAATATTTGTTTTTTGTTAAAATAAACTAAAAAACAAACCGATGAATATCTTGACGAGCATTTTGTTTTTGTAAAGCTTTTATACGATCTTCTATTGATGATGATGTTTGAAATTGTTCAAGCCATTCAGCAACAATTTCGTCTTTTGCCCATTGTGAAGTCTAAATAAGATAATATTGAAATCACAACAAAAAATAAATTAAATTAAGTCCCTTTTACATCATTAGTTTTATCTTCATTAAACCATTGATGAAGATAATTAGCAGCTGATTGATAATCAATGGAAGATTCACGAGTAAGAATTGTTTTTATGGCATTATTTTCACCTAAACGACGTTTTAATCGCCAATAAAAAAATTCTCGACTTGTTCGCCAATCCAATATTTCCTTTTAAAAAAGAATATCCATAGAAAAATTCCAGAAAAACAAATCTTATTTGATTAACTTACTCGAATAACACCTTTTTCTAACATTCGACCTGGTGTATCATGTAAATCACAAAACATAACAGCAGCTTGTTGATAAACAGGTAATAAAACTTTTTCTCGTTCAGCTAATTTTCTTTCAAGTTCTTCTTTTATATTATTTGTTGTTCCTGTTGTACATGAAGTTATCTCAGCAACTAATTCTCGACAACCAGGATCAAGTCGATGAATTGTACGTATTAAATCTTTTGTACGATATTTTATTTCAACTGTACCTTCCGGTTCAAGTACACCACCACGACTCATTCGATCAGCATACATTTCCATGTAGCGTAAATTGATTGTTGGATCAATAACAACCCAAGCACCACCACGTAATTCACCAAATGGTGGTATGTAACTAAAAACAGGCTGTTCATATTCTCGTAAAGCATCAACAATGTAAGCACCGAATTTCATAATTTGATCATACATATCTTTCATGCCACCACTAAAACCACGCCAATTAGCAAATATCATTAATGGTAAATTTTCCCGTTTAAAATCATTAATTGCTTGTGCTGTTTTAAATGCTGAATCAGGAAACCATACTTGACCAGCTTGTTGAATAGTACGAGCATCAGAATCAAAATTAGCTGGATCAGCTGGTTGTTCTGATTCAACTGTACGTGTTTCGACAGCAATAACACCCATGGCTAGAAGAAATTATTTTTTCTTTTTGAAAATTTCTAAAAAAAACGCATTATTCACTACTTACGGATTCCGCCAAGACGAGCACGACCACATACAACAGTTTTTGCCCAACCTTTCATTATTTCAACAAATGAATCTCGATCAAAAAATCCTGATTGAAATGATGCTGCCATTGATATTCCTATATCAATATGATTTGAAGTTTGTTGTGTTAATGCAAGTTGTCGTCCTTGTATCATATCTCTTGGGTCATATGGTGTTGATGTTGGAACAAAATCAATTGTACGTTCAATGGGATCATATAATCCAGGTAATATTGGTGGTAAATGTAACATTGTTTCTGGCATATAAGAAAGCCATCGAAGTATAAGTAAACATCCTTCAAAATCATCTTTAACAATATCATGTGTTATACCATTATTGAACATTATCTGTGTACCACCTAATTGATTATTACTATTATAAACTTCACGACCAAGAACTTTATTAAGTGCACCAGCACCAGTTAATATAATATGAGAATTTTCAACTTGTATTACACGAGAACCAAGTCGAACAAGATAAGCACCTATACCAACAGCTCGACATGTTACTAAACTAATTGTTGGCTAAAAGAAATAAAAGTTTTTATATTCAAAAAAAAAAAGACTACAATCATAAACTTTAAATATTTACAATAACATTATATGCAAGTGATGTTTCACCAGCAATCATTCCTGATCCACGTAAATTTTCTACACCTAAACTATTTTCTTTTCCAATAATATCAATAATTTTATATCGTAATTCTCCATCATCATTTATTGTTTCTGTTCGTACACAATTCATATTCGATACACGTGAATAATCATTTGGTGTTAAATATAAATACCGTATACCTTTTTCAACATCTTTTGAATCATTCCATGCAATATGATAAAGAAATTTAAGTTCTTCAGCAAGACCAATACGTGCACCACTATTTGCCGATATATAAATACGTGGAATACGTTCTAAACGTGATAATTCTGATGCACGTTGAAATAATAAATCTTCTTCAGTACCAAATGAACCTATTTTATATGTTATATCATTAGCAATAACAATTATTGTGCGACCATTTGGACATTCAGGCGTTTTCATACAAATACGCCATGCAACAACACCACAATCATTTTCTGCTGGTGAACGTGTACGTGTTATAAGACCACATTGTTGAAGTTTATTAGCGATATCATTTGTATCGGATGTTGATGATTGTAATGACGCTGATGTTGCATTTGATGAAGTCGACGTGATATTTGTTGATGGAATGGATGTTGGTGCAACTGGAGATGATGAAACATTGAGATTTACTATTGAAAAAAAATAAACAAAACCAATTCATTTGAAAATAAAAATTCTTTTTAATACTACCTTGCGTTGTATTATCAAGTATCAGTTCTTGACAAGTAAAATTATCTTTTGGTGTTATTTGATCTTTATATTTATTTAAATCTAAATATTGTTTCCATGATACAATCAAAGCACGTCGAAACATTTCAGGTAAATCATAAACATAAGTTGTACTATTTGATTGAGCTGTAAAACGTTTATATTGTAATTGATCTTTTGTTAAATATGGTTCATGTAGTGCTCGACCTTCAAATGGACCTGGTTTACCAATATTATATGTTTGAAATACCGTTCGTCCTGACGCTTGATTTGTTACTTCACGATATAATGATATATCCAGATGATAACCACTTTCATATGTCATAAATGCTCGAAATGGCATTGGTTCAGAATCTGGTGTTACCCTTAATGTCATTTTCAATTCAGCTTGAAGAATACGAAGTTTCCATAAACGAATACCTTCAAATTATGATAGAAAAATTGCATAGAAAAAAACAACAAGTGAAGTAATATTAGATAACTTACCATAACGAAGTACCATTTCGCGTACACTTTCTTCAACTTTACTTGGTTCAATACAAACCGTTGGTACAAAACACATAAATACATGATTACAATCAGTTTTTTTTGCTAATGGATGTGAAAATGCTATTTCTAATTCATCCATAGCTTCAAGCAATGTACGTTCAGCTTCATTTTGTAAATATTCATAACTTGTTTCTTTCGTAACTAAATCTGAATGACGAATAATTGAACGCGCAAATAAACGATAATCTGCAGTATCATTTTGTTTATTATGTACTTTTCCTTTGCCTAAATAAATATGCACTTTATGATTTGATGTTGGCACAAATTCAATATCAAATGAACGTAAACGATAAAGTTCAAGTTGATATGCAAGAGCAGGTTCAAGATGTCGAAAGATTTTATCTTCTTCAAACTAAATAAAAGAAAAAGAAAATTTAAATAAAAAAAAAAAAAAATCCTTTTTATTTTGCTTTACATCTAATCGTTTTCGATAAGTAAAATAAGCTGGAAATTGACGCTAAAATAATAATAATAATAAATTTAGTTGTATTATTTTTATTTTCATAATTTACTTTTGCAGCAAGTGAAAATGTAACTCGACGAATATTTTTTGCAGCACAAACTTGATTCTAATAATTATTATAAATTCGCTTATATATAGAAAAATATTTTATTTTTTTCAATAATCAAAATTTACTTTTGATTGAACAAATTCAAGAAATACATCTTCAAGTTTAAAATTTTGTTGAAGATTAACATCATCTTTAATAAATACATAGATGAGATTAGTTGCTTGATCAAACTAATAATAATAGAGAAAGATTATTAATATAGAACAATTCGTCTTCCTTCTCTTACTTGTGGAGTAGGCTTTTCAATAGATGAACTATCATATGAAGTTTGTCGATTATGTGTATATAATAGTTTACGACTAGTAGTTGAAGAACGAGTATTAGATGGCAATGATGAAAATGGTATTAATAATTCATCAAAATAACTAGATTTAAAAAATTTACAATGCTTAATTTTTTTTTTCTTGTTTGAATAAACTAACTTTTTTGCTCGTTCTAAACTATCGAATGCAGCTATTATTCCCGTACGTCGAAATAATTGTGGATCTTCATCATCCATTATCACCATATCATCACTAAAACTACCATTTCGAACCGTATTTTCTTGTACATACAGTCTAAAATCAATTAATATAGTAATATATATATATGTATAAACATATTTATGTAAATTAGCCTTTACATAACTTGACAATAAAGACTCTCAATATCTCGATTTTGCTTTGATCAATTAAGCTGCTTTTTTTACTCGGTGATACAAGACTCCGAAGGTTTTGATATACAAGAAAATCCTCAATAAATATTGTTCTGACTTACGAGGGAACATTCTCAAGTGTCACATCGCTTTTGAGTTCAGACTCTATGCATAAGGTAGACTCCAGTGAGGTATGAAAAACTCCAGGAGTAAGTGCCCTTAGGCATTCTGTCTAGAGTTATAGACATTTTACTGGAATTTTAGCCTTTGGCATGATATATATCGACAAATAGAATGACGGTATTTCAACCTGAGATTTTGCCCACAGATAGATCTATTTGTGAGTAAAATGTCCTGAAAATTTCAGCTTGAAAGAATGTTTTATTCCTGAGATATTAAAGTCCCAAAAATCAATCATATCCCATGAAAGATGGTAGAATTTACTGTTTTTTGGGACTTTAATATCTCAGGAATAAAACATTCTTTCAAGCTGAAATTTTCAGGACATTCTACTCACAAATAGATCTATCTGTAGGCAAAATCTCAGGTTGAAATACCGTCATTCTATTTGTCGATATATATCATGCTAAAGGCTAAAATTCCAGTAAAAATGCCTATAACTCTAGACAGAAGAACTAAGGGCACTTATTCTTCTGGAATTTTTCATACCTCACTGGGGTCTACCTTATGCATAGAATCTGAACTCAAAAGCGATGTGACACTGGGGAATGTTCCCTCGTTAGTACGATTAATATTAATAGAAAGAAAAATAGTATTGACCAAAAGTGTCTCAGCTTGTAATCTCAGCCGTTTTTCAGACTGCACATCTGAAATTTGTAACATATATATTACCTTAGAAATAACAGACAACAAGGTCAACTGCATCTCGATCGCTTCAGTTAAAGAACAGTTATTATGTATGATAGCAGTTCTGGCTATGAGTTCTATAACTAGAGGAACGGAAAGAACGTAGGACCTTGTGAATCTATTGTTATGAAAACTCTCTGTAGCCTTTGAATACTTAGATGAAATATAATCAACTTTAGAGAACTGATCGCCATATGAAAGCACTATATAATGACAGGTTCATCAAGTCCTTAGTTTCTGTCTTTCTTAAATTATAAGACTCAAAGTGAGAAGGATCATCATTAATCATAAGTACACTTCACCTCAAGCAAACAAGTCATGGCTGGTCTCACCGACGGAAATTTGTAGTGTAATATATATGCTAAAAATTTCATATGTCTAGTCGTATGAATATAAGTGTCATCACAGGGTAACATACTTTTGGTCAATAATACTACGTAGTCTTTCAGTATTTATTTGACGATTTTCTCATATATCAAAACTGTCCCACGTACTCTATCATCAAGAAAAAAAAACAATCCAATTGATTAAAGCCAACCGAAGATATCGAATCTTTTTATTGCCTAGTTGTTAATGAGCCTTTCCTGTTTTCTTATTAATGTTCTTTACCGATTTGGATGGTTTAGTGGTAAATATAAAGAAAATTGGACAGTACATGTACCATCTGAAAGAAAACCATGCTGAATACTAGTGAGATCATAGGATATATAAGAACGTCGAACATAAACCTATGAAATAAAAAAGTATTTGAGAAGAATAAATATACGTGAATACTGTTTTTTTTTAAATAATTACTTCAAGTGCTGATTGACGCACTTGGATATTGGGATGAAAATAAAAACTATGTAAAACATCAAATATACTCGTTTCAGATAGAATTAATTTCTAAAAGAAATTAAAAAAAAAAAACAACAAGTTCAAAAATCTTGTCTTCTTTTTTTTTGATTTTTGCTCAAAATACTTGTAAATTTTCTTGACAAAATTTATGTCCATACATATCAAGTGCACTTAAAAATATTGATTCCATTTGATTAAGTCTTAATTCATAAGGTGGTTGTTGAAATTCAATCAATACTTGTCTTGCTTTTAATGCAACTTTTGCATTATTTGTATGTGTTAATAATGTTAATTCACTTAACAATGCTGTTAATTCATCAGTTAATCTTGGATCACGTTCAAATAATAAATCAATTAACATAATAACAAGTGTATTTTTTGAATTGAAATTTGCATGTGAAAAAACAGTTTCAACAACTTTATGCATATCAATTTTATTCTTATCACGTAATTGTGTTAAACATTTATCATATTGTCCAAATTGAAATAATATTTCTATATTTAAATAATTTTTTATTAAATCTGTTATAACTGTTTTCATATGACCTTTTATACCATTACGATAACGTTTTACTAACTGTACAAGACTTTGTACAGTTGTAAAAAATACATCTCTATCAGTACGATGTTCTAGTTTAGCGGCATAATTATCAATAAATGTTGCAATTGATTGTGATGGAAATTGTACCAAGACAGATGTTAAATTACTTTGATAATTTCTTAATAATTTTTTTATTTCTTTTTTAACTTCTTGCGGTATACGTTCAGATATATTTGATAAAATATCTTCAACTTCAAGTAATGGTAATGATGGATCACGTAAAATTGAAAATAATTTTTCAACAGTTAATTTAAGTCTTTCACGAAAATATGGTTCTGGATATGTAAAACCATGAAGAATATTTTCTAATGTTTGTTTTGTTGTTTGAAATATTTGATTTAATTTTGAACTTGTTGAATGATTTGTTATTTCGAAATGAAATTTATCATCATATAATTTTGATTGTGGAAATTGATGAAAATCATCAAAAATGACATGGGCAAGAACACATGAAGCTTCAAGAATAGCGCCAGGACGTTTGTTCCATTGAAGACTGAACATATGAAGAAGATATATTGAAAAATATTGTGAATAAATCGAAAGAATACATTGGATTGGTAGCTCATAATACAATATATGCCGATTAAACAAAATCACATCTAGTTCAGATTGTGAATAACTGTTGAAAATCTTCTGGGATTTGTTCGAGCAATTTTTTGCTCTATTTTTGAGAAAAGTACTTTCGGGTATTAAAAAAAGCCTTTGTTCCACCACTGAAATACCATTCTCAAAACAAAACAAATTTTTTTCAGACAGCTCAGTTATAGAAACTGAACTGAAAGTTGGTCGAGCCCCTATTCCTAATGAAAATCATTTATATAATATTGTAGACTTTTTTATAAAGTCACGTCAGTAAACTTCTCGTCTTATAATTGTATTTTGTTTTCTTTTTCGATATAAATTTTTATTTATGTTTGAATTATTCACAATACTTCAGTTTTATTTCTGAAGTCTTTTTTATTTTACAACGTCAGATATTAATCCAGATTTTAGTCTTGATTGAACTATTATGTTTCCAGTCATAAACAAAACGTACAGAAATGTCAAACTGAAATTATCGTTTCTCATAAAACTGATTACTAAATATGACTTTTACCTTTAAAAAAACAGGTAGAAATGACGATTTTCTTACAAAACAAGAAAAAAACTATGTTGATTGATTTTATCTTTGACCATATGTAGACTTCGATAATGATAAGAAAACATTCTAAAAATAGTCCTCATGAAGACACTTATCAGTTTGACTATCAAGCTTTTTTCACCTATCATCTATCTATTTCGATAATATGAAATGAATACTTTGTCTAAATTTTATCAGATCAATTGTTCAAACTATTGAGATTCTTTTATTTAAAAATCATGAAAACACTTGATATTGGACATGATTCGAAATAAAAAGACTTCATTCGCTAAACTCAAAATAAATAAAGACATGTTTATAACCATCCATTATACTTTCAATCAAGATCATCATCAAGTTTACTCATTCATATTAAAATGTACTTTTGATTCAAAATTGAAATCATAAAATTGTCGTATTTTTGCATTCCAATTAAAAATATCATCATTTTCTTTTAGATTTAAAAAAAAAAACTAGAGAAAATCAAATTTTAAACATAATTCTTACTGTCCTTTCGATGGACATCGAAGTTCAGTAACCATTTTCATTACTTCAATTTCCGCATAGACTTGACCTGCTTCAATGGGACCACCATCTTCTACTGTATAATGAAGCAGTTTTCCTGCTGATGGTGATCTAAAATAATTAAATATTCTAAACAAAACAAGAAGAAACTCAATCTGTTTTATCTGCCTTAATATAGATGGATCATTTTCTTTTTGAAAAACACATGATTTATTATTAACAATAATTCTATAAGTATCCACATCTTCTTTCATAAATGTTAAATAACTTGTTCCATCTAAATTAACTAATATACCACCATCTTTCATCCTAAATAAAGAAAAAAAAAAAGAAGAAATTTTCAAATGGAAATAATCTTTCTTTTTTCATTTTTACCGATTAGCTTCAACTTCAACATATGAATCATTCATAACAACGAAAAAACAACTTGGACCACATTTTGTGATCTAGAAAACGAACGTATACATTCAGTTTTTCTTTTTGTTTTGTCTCTGTTAATTACCTGTAATTTGTATTTAGTATGTTCATATATCAGTTCAACATAGGTTGAAGTCGAAAGTGTATTCATTGGTAATATCTGACCACTGGAACATAAAAATTCTTTTACATTCGACAAAGAAAATAGGAAACAACTTTTTTTTACCGTTCAAGCGATGATTGAAAATTTTGAAAATTACTTCGAAATTGTTCATCTGCAACATGTATAGCACCACATACAATTGATATCATAATATCAGGTTTTTCAGTTTGAAAATGTTCGGCAATTAAAGTATCAAGCCAACTTGTTTTAACTGTATTATTTATAAAAGCATCAGTTTCCAATAAACGTATTAAAATTTCCACTATAAAAATGTTTACATAAATAGTAAGAACATTGCAAAAGAAGATTTTTTCTTACCCGTCGAATGAAAGTCTCCACGAATTGATAACTCTTTCAATGCAACGACAAGATTTCTAAGAAAACAACAGAATAATACATAGATATCAATATATTAAACGAACTCTCGTGCATCATCTCGAGTATCACCATGTGAAAAAACATGTCCAAATTGAGAATCAGCAAATTCATGTAAACCACCAGATGATGATATACTAAAATATCCCCAAACATTTTGTCGACTACGAAAATTTAATTCTTCAACAGTTCCTGAACTTGGTTTAAAACCCTAATTTTAATATATAAAAACACAAATAAAAAGATATGTTCTTTTCTTTTTTTTTTTTTTACAACGCACTTCATCCGGATTTTCACTGGTAATACGTGCAGCAATAGCATGGCCATGTGGCATAGGTTTGTTTTTAGGTTTATCAAAATCGATTGATGTTGCACCAAATGGTTCTTCACCGTACAATAATCGTATATATTTTATTCGATGCAAACGTATTCCCATAGCAATCTAACACAAACAAACGAAGTTTCATCGGTTTTTTTTTGAATGATTAAATTTATTTCTTTAAAAACTTTTACTATTAGTTTCTAAGTTACATCCTTATCTAAAGCTATAACTTATTTTAAAAAAACTGTCCAGCTAAGACGGTTACAAAACGTATAGCTGGACTGCCATTATGATTTATTTTCATGTTTTGGTTGTCTAGATTAGTTCTTTTTGTTCTTTATCAAAGCACAGATGTTTTTCTAATTCAAAGTGTAGATCTGTTAGATTTCATTCATCAAGTGATACGTTAATACGTGACAAAATCGCTTCCTTTAGAATGCCGTATGTTATAAGCATATTTTTTTTTGTTTTAGTAGATTATTTTTAATGGAAACAAGACGATACAGCAAACAAACTTATATAAGAAAACATAACAATAGGTCAATAATACACAACCGAGCTACAAAGGGCAAGCTTTTATCTTGTTTCCACTCATCATTATCTCACAGTAGCATAAGAAAATTTTGTTTTTTTCTGTAATGCAATACATGATTATGTTTCACTCACGTACAGCATCATTCGATATATCACTTCTTGTAATAGCTGATAAACACATCCAGATCGCAGTTACCCTGTCAGATTTCTCGACTATTCGACAGTTGATCTCTGATGGTATTAAAGCATTTAGTTTTGTTTATTTTGTGATTACTAGATATCATGTGTAATAAATTTGTAATATTTATTATGATGATACGAAGGCATTTCTCAATAACTCAGGTCAAGCATTCACACTCCTCAACAGCTGCTTATGGCGAGCATGAAAGCTGTTCAGGTCAATCAACAGTAAGTATAGATTTTTCATTTTAAATTTTAATTCAAATTATATTACAGCATGAAGTCAATCAAAAGTGAGTGTAAATAATTGATTCAATTCTTTTAATACTTCATTTTATGTTTATTATTCAAAAATTCAATATAATAATAAATTATAATAAAGTATATTTAAGCTGTTCATTTCCAACTAATTGTACGAGAGTGAGACTACAGGTTTTTGTACGACTTTTGTATGATCTAACAAGGGCAAACGTACAATCTTGTAAGATTTTACCATCTGGTTGTTTCGTTCGGAAGAGACGGGTATCAAATGATTTTGAAAGACAATGTTTCGGTGTGATTCACTTATATTAAGTATTTTTTTCTTTTCTATGTTCTGTTATTGCTATGATGACGCAAACTATACATATGAATGCATTTTCTTTTTTTTCTATCCTTTTCCCGTACTCATCTTTCGGTAGTTTCCAAGCTTTTCTCTCCTTTGGATTATGTTATGATGTTTTTGTTTTTACTCATCCTTTTTTTCCAATTATCTTTTATTTTTCCTTGATCGTTAGCATACACAGTATTTTCATTAGTTAATTTCACATAATCATCTAGTATTATTGAAGAAGAATGGATTTCAATATGCAAAATGGTAGTCATGATACACATGAACAAAGTAGTACGATAAACACGTTGCATAAAACTCATACAAGTGATGACTTTGAAACAACAATCATCGAAATAAATCAAACAAATTTATCTTCTCTTATACAACCATTACCCTCACGTTGCTCAACTTTCACTACAATGATGATTTGTTTTGGTGCCATGATTTTTCTTCTCTTACTCCACTTCTTCATCATTCTTTTTTCTCCAGAAAAACCTACACAAAAATGAAATGTAACTGTATCTTCTTGTGTGATTTTTTTGTAACATTTTACTAAGCATATTGTATAGATTCAAAACAAGAGCTGCTAAAATTTGAGAAATAAAAAAAATTGTCATAAAACTTCGTTTCCAAAAGAAAATATGGAATAGCAGCGTAAGAACGAAAAACAATCGTTTCGATGTTCTTTGATAAGCACTAATAAAAAGAGAAATTATTAAATAACGATATGGCGATAAACCAAGAAGCTGCTAATGAATTATAAATACATTAAAACATATAACTTCAGGTTTTTTTTGATTCTTTTGGGAAGAGAAACTCATATAGTCGTTTCCTATCCAGAAGTAGTTAGGGTTAAAAATCATAATTCAACAAAAATTGATCATTAACTCTTCTGAAACAGAGTTTTTCTCACGAAGCATAATAACAAAACTTGGAATTGTTTGAAGTGAATTTATTTTCAGTTCTAATCAGCATTATTGATCTTTCAAATATTGGTACGAAGTATATATATGTTGCTCGTACTAATCATAGAACAGTGCCAGTCAGATCAATCAAAAGTACTACTTCGGATACACCAATTCCAATACCAATGCTTAACTTGAAATTGCTGCATCCATAAGTATTTCGCTTTAATAGATTCAATACAATCAATATATAATACATCATTGATTTATTATTGATAGTTTTATAACTGTAAAATAATAGGAAATCAAATATTTGTCTTGGTTTACTTTTTTTTTTTCGATAGACTTATTCTATTTAAATATATGTTTATTTATGTTGTAGGCACTCTAAAATATTATTCTATTAATCAAATGAAATAGTTCTCAAAAATAGTTTCTATTATCTCATCATATTTAGATTTATATATGTTATAAGCTTTTTTGTTTTAGAAATAAAATCTGTACCTGTAATTGACATGCAGGTAAATTAACATCAGTAATCATTTCTGTACAAGGATGTTCAACTTGTAATCGAGGGTTAAGTTCAAGAAAGAAAAATGTTTGATCATTTGGATTAAATAAATATTCAACTGTACCAGCACTAGTTTTTTTTTCGTAAAACAAACATCCATGCAATAAATTGAATTATTTAAAAGCTAAACTAACCTAACATAACCAACCATTTTTGCTAAACGTACAGCTGCTTTTTCCATTTTTTCAAGAACTTCAGATGGTGCTATAACAGCTGGTGCTTCTTCAATAATTTTTTGATGACGTCTTTGTATTGAACAATCTCGACCAAATAATGATATAGCTTGTCCACTTTGATCAGCAAGAATTTGTACTTCCAAATGTCGACAACTATCAGCATATTTCATTAGAAATATAGGTGAACCTCGTACTTCCATTTGAACCTAATTTATAAGAATATTAATTTAAAAACTAAATCAAAAACATTTCTTTGTTTTACTTGTCGAAAAAGATTTTCAAAATCATCTCGACTTGTAGATTTTCGTATTCCTTTACCACCACCACCTTCTGAAGCTTTAATCATTACAGGAAAACCAATTCGAATTGCAACCTAATAAAACAAAATGATATATTGTTTTTGATTTTTGATTTTTTCAAATAAAGCAATATGATAGATAGAATCTTACTTCTAGACCCTTTTTGGAATCATTAACACATGCTTGTTCATATAAATCCATTGGAACAGTAACATCATCACTATCATCTTCTTTGTATGTAAGTGTAAGATCTAATATATATATTCAAATAAACTTTTAGTTTTTCTTTTCTTTTTAATCATAAAAAAAACTCATTTAACGACATAAATTGTCTTCATCTGTATAACGAAGAGTTTTACTTTTTTTGTTTAGTTATGAGTTCATCATACTTACGAGATCCACTCCATGGTAATGTTGGTACATCAGCACTTTGAGCAATAATAGTCGAGGCTATTTTATCTCCTATAAAATTAAACATAGAAAAAAAAAACCGTTTAATCAAAAATTTTACCCAATGACCACATGGCTTGTTCTGGTGGACCTATATTAGTAACAAAAGAAATGAAATATATTCTTGAACATCGAAAAACAAATAATTGCTTACCAATAAATACAATACCATTACGATGAAGTAGTTCTGGTAGTTTAGGATTTTCTGATGCATGACCCCATCCGGCCCAAACAGCTAGAATAGAATTTCTTTCTAATTTATTCGACAAGAACACAAAAAACAATCAAATAAACCTTCTACAGGAAAGCGCTTTGCAATGTCAAGTATAAGGTCACAATTCGAATAATTCATATGTGATGGACCACCTTGTACATTTACATAATGATCCGCATATCGAATATATTCTATATGAGAAAAAAACGCCAAAATAATTGAAAAAACATTTAAAACAAAACCAACCAGCATTCGCTTGCATATCTTCTGGTGTAACCATAGCAACAAACTTAATAGTGTTCTCTTGACGAAACATTTCATAAGACCAACGTCGAATTGAACGCATACATTTAACAGCTGCAATACCATTATTTGCTATAAGAATCTAAAGAACAATTTTTTCTGATTAATTTTAATTAAATCGAGTCAAAAATTATCAATGACTTTGTTAATCACACGATTTCCACCTAAGAAATCACACAGTGCTTTCGGTGTTGATACAGTAGTTACTGGTCGCAAAGATGCTGATGATCCAAAACATATACCTGACATATTTCTAAATAAAAGGATTACAAGGTAATTATTAAAATGGTTATTGGTTGTTCTTATTAGTGATTCCTTGTCATTATAGTGCAAATATTTTTTTCTCATTCTGTTCTTTTTTGTCTAATATATGTAGGTGTACGTAGGTATGTTTGTAAACATATATTACGCTTACCGTGCATAATTGCTTAATGTTGATTTATTTTTACCATGCGTATCGTTGTTCAATGATGTTTTTGCATTTGTCTTTGAACTATTTGTAATATTATTTGTTGCTGACTCGGTTGAAGAATATGATGAAGTTTTTGATGGCGTTGAAAAATCAAATAATTCATCGACTTCGTCCATTCTGTCAAAATCATCGGTACGTTGTGATTCATCCAGATCAAATCTAACGTTTGATGATTGTACATGTTGCTTATCTGCCATTTTGAAATCTAATTTTTTTTCCTCACGATTGGTACTCATATGAAGCAGAAAAAGAAAATAAATAAGCTAGAGAATAATCACGATCTAGAAATAAGCAATATAGCAAATGTTCGATAGAAAAAAAAGCAGCTGTATTTACACACCAATCTGGATACGTCTAGATGTATTTCTGAAATTAAATAAATTTATTTTTATTTACTTTCATTTAATCTATGATGGTTTTTTTATCGTTCTCTACAAAAGTCTCTTATGTTCTACAGCAACAAAAAAAAAAGAAGTCCGCCACCTACTGAATATCATCTATGTGAAACACGCACATAATAATACAATTGTAGAGGTCAACCAAGTTCATTACGTATGAAAATTTTTTTTTCTCTTTCATATTTCTATATTTCAAGTGCAATCGACAAACAAGACACTTGAAAAAAATTTTCGCTGCAAATCGCTCACTATAGTACGCTCTGCTAATTAACTGGCCGTCATTAAAAGAAAAAACAAAATATTCTATTTGAAAGCTGAAATGTAAGAAGCAGAAGAAGCATTACTAAGCAATAGATTGGAATACAAATACCGAAATTGACTCTGATGAATATGGTATGTATCAAAAAAGAAATCATTTTCAACTCTAAACATACATAATAAAATCAAACGTTTTGGTTGAATGGGTTAATAAAAGTTATAGGAAAATTAATGATAAACAGACCGTAAGAATCATTTTGAAGGTGATATGTAGTGGGGCAGTGCAAACAAGAAACAAAATGATTGTAACAAAAATTAACTGAGAAAAACAAGATTTTAACTTGAAAGCTTAGTTCTAACAACAATATGTTATCAAAGTAATTAAAATTTTTTCAAATGTTTTGAACAAGAAATACACTTATGAGAGAACTTTTCGAACTGATACTCATGTTTTGATCACATATTACTCGTAAAAGAATGCGTTGGTGAGAATAACAAAAGTCAAGGAGTAATAATCCTCATGGGTCTCTGAAGCTAAGTTACGATCATTTTTCTGAATTTTTGCTTGATTTTTAAGTTTGTATCGAAATAATCAAATAACGAAATTTCAATCTGAAATATCTTCTACAAACGGATCAAATGACCAGTACAATATTCTGGATATATCAGCTGAAAAGAATATTCCTCTATCGAGATACTGCATTTCCATAAAATAGTTGATTGTTACAGAAATGCCGTAATAATCAATTTATTTGAAAACTTAATCCCTCGATAACGGAAGATTCTTTTTTGGCTGAAACTCTTAGAAGAATCCTAGCGTCATTAAATTTATTTACAAGCAAAATTTCAGGTCGAAGTTGTGCTATTTGATTTTCGACGTATACCTAAAGCTGAATCGAAAGTTTAGTAAAATGGCCATAACTCAACTCCAAGACCTCATAGGAATGAATTCTTTACACTTTTGCATGTCTCACCAAGTTGCTCTTGTACACGTAAAGTATGATCAAACGGTGGGTATCACTTTAAACAGATCCCTCATTAACGGAAAAATAAAAAAACTAAAAATGTTATAAAAATGAATCGATTTTATATAGAAATTATTCGTCTAAATTACAAAATAAAAGCAAAAAAAAATATTATTTAACATTTTAATACAGTATAGAAAAAGTCAGAAAAATATTTTTTTTTCTTGTTATTTTCTAAAAATCTACTCTTATCACAATGAATATGTCCTTTTTCTTTGTTTTTTAACAATCAATATTCGACATATGAACTAAACAAATACTATCATGATCATCATCATAATTATCTGATTTTTCACTATCATTAGTATTATCACTTTTATCAAAGATAGTTGATGATTGTTGTAAAGATGTTTGTATAAGTGCCCAATCTTCAATAATATTCATATCAGATAATTGATAAAAAATAGCTAAACTATCTTTTTCCGTTGTTTTCTTTGTACCATTTAAACGTCGTTTTTTTATATTTTGTTTTATTGTTTCTGAATTATCAAAACGCTTTTTATTTGTCGATATGATTTGTAATTGTTGTTGTTCTGATGGTAAAATTTCTTGTAAAATATTTTCACATAATTGTGTTTTCATTTTTAATGCTTCAAGTTCATGAATTTTTTGTTCAATATCTTCACGTATATTATAATGTACAAGAAATTTATCATTTTCTAATGTTTGTTCTAAACTTAATAATTCAGATTCTGTAGCATTTTCTAATGCTTGTAATTCGATAAGATGTCGTTGTTTAGCAATTTCTAAATCAAGTTTCATTTCATCATAAAGTTTTTTTAATTCATTTTGATATTCAGGTGCTTCTTCATTTTGTATAGATATTAATTTTCTATCAATTAATAAAACACTTTCTTCATATAAAATATTTTTTAATTCATCGAATTGTTTTTCAATATTCATTATTTCATACATTATTTCATAACGACGTGAATCAAAATAATCAATTGATGATGTTGAACAATCATGTTTACCAAATGTTTGAAGAATATTTTGAACTTCATCTATCGAATCAAGACAATCATCATCAATATCATCATCATCATCAATAGTTATATCATCTAAATCAGAATTCGACAAACTTATTTTTCGTGATGAAGTTGATCCTTCGATTGATGTATTCGATGAAATTATTTGATCTTCATTTTGATTCATTATTGTTTGGTGATTTGTTTTGTTGTGAACATGAGTACAGATTGTTTTAGCAAGAAAAAAGCATGCTTCCTATTGAATTAAATTTATAACCAACTAGTAAATAGTAATGGAAGTGACATCTTTTGTTTGAAAAAAAAAATTCACTTTTTATTATTGAACTAGTGTTGGAAGAAGATAAACTAGTTTTTCTTTTATAAAAAAACTGAACTATTAAGAAGCAATGTGGTATAAAATTAAGAAAAACAAATCAATAAACAGAGCTAAAAAAAGTTCCGGTGCCGGGGATCGAACCCGGGCCTAGACGGTGAGAGCGTCCAATCCTAACCACTAGACCACACCGGATTGTAGCTCTTTGTTCTTAAATATCTACTTATGATTTTTTTTTTCTTGTAGTTGTTTATCGAAATATCATATACAGAGAATGTGCTGATTGGTTTGCTACGAAATGATAATCATCAATATTCTGGATGTTTGTCACGTTAAATTGTAATCAGTGGAAACAAATATCTATGACGATCGTCAATTATGATAGAACAACACGATGATAACGAAAAAAATATTTATCTGTCTCTTTTTTTTTTTCAGATTCTTTTTCAATGTCGTCGCTAACAGTACCATCTTCTCATGAAAATATTCTACCATCAACAGTGAATATCAAATTTTCTCGTATTGCACTTACACCTGGTGGACAAAAATCAACAGAAGTTTGTTAGAGTTTTTACTTATTCTGAGGATTTTCTTTGTTTAATTTCTTTTTAGCTAGTATATTTTAATTGCGAAGAAGATATTGGGCAAGCAATAGAATCAATTTTTCAACATAAAATATTTGATTTATCATCACCAAAGCTTATTATTGTACTTGAAGGTGGTCTTAATAATTCTTCTGAAAGATTAAATGATTTTAATGAAAAACAATTTTCAACATCAGTTGCAAGATTACTTTTAGATATTGGTATGTATTGTTTTATTTGAATACATTTTGAATTTTTTTCTCTTTTGATTTTAGGACGAAATAAATTACGTAATGATGAAGGTGCTCCATGGTTATTTTGTAAAATTCAACATGTAAAGAAAAAGGCATAAGATTTTGAATTTTATTTACTATTTTTTTATTTTTAGGATTCAGTTGCTGGACGTATTATTCAAATAACAAGAAAACAATATTTAGCTAATAATATACCTTTATCACAATTTGTTACAATTGGTGTTGATGTCTGTCCTTCAATATCGGTAAAAGTTCTTCATCGATTTATTCGGAAAAAAAGAAGCAATTCTTTTTTTTTTTCGTTTGAGTTTAGTTAGAAGACGCTCCATATAATTACCAATCACTTGTTGATGCTGTTTCACATGATTATCAAGATAATACAAAAACTGAAACAATTACGAATACTAATCGTTTATTAAATAAACGATTATCACGTGTTATTTTATATGGAAGAAAAGAACAAGATTTAACTGATCAACGTTGTCTATTACAACGATGTGTAGAAGAAATTGGACGAATTCGGGATAATGATAAAACCGAATGTGGTAAGTTTAGGATTTTTTGCCGTGTATGTTTGATAAAATAAAAATGACTTAAATGTTTATAGTTAGTATACCGAAAATAATGTTACTTTATGGTGGTGATACAAACAATGTTGAACCAATTTATCGATTATTGAATGTTGACCTTGATCGAAGAAAATTTGGTTTGGTCATTGTGAGAGTATGTAGAAAAAAAAAAAAACTTGATTTCTATATTTGTATTAGTCTGTTATCTATCATTCTTCGAAATGGAATGTTCAATTCGGCTCAGAGAGATTTTTCTCTGGACAATGTAGATCTGAGTTTCTTATCGAGCTGTTCGACATCAACTGCACGGAAGATTTCCCACATAAGAATTTAGAGAAAAAAGTCTAAGCTTAATAATTTTTTTTCCAACACAATACCGATTACAATGATACTGTTTGAATTCGATAAAAATTTATTAACGAATCAAAAATGACTAAAAATTAATTGAATTCTATGTTTAAATCTGAAAAATAGAATTTTGATCAGACTTATAAAATAGAGCCATTTAAATCGGCTTGATACTGTATTTTTTTGTTAAAATTTGTTACACGGATTATAGAGATGCTTCAATTGCTGGACAATAGTTTCAAAGATGATATACTTTTAGTATTGAAAATCTGTTGTCCTGACTATTGTTTATGACAAATCTGCTCAGCTTTGATGGACCTATCTAAAACTATTGTTAGATTTGATAGATTCTAAAACAAGAATTTCGAAATTGGTCGAAAATTAAGGATTTTAAGACAAACTGTGATTAATTCCAACAGATTCCTGAAATATAGAGTCAAAAATAACGTATCCGTAATACAAAGCATCAATAGATTTCTGTCAATTGTTTATAACAGCCATGATTAAGCATGTATGTTGTATTGAATGCTATTTTTTTGATTTATTTGAATATTGCACAAAGCTTACAAAATTGGTTAGCATTAGTCAGCTTTCATCTTAAAAATCATAATTTTCGACTGATTTTGAAACTTTTGTTTTAGATTCGATGAAATCTAACAATAATCTCAGATGTACCAATCAAGATAGAGTAAAACTGTCATACATAATTGTCAGGACAACGGGTGTTCCGTACTAAAAAAATATTACCTTTGAAACCATCGTTCAGAGATTGGTGCGTCCATAATTGGCTATTCATTTTGTAATTGATATCAGTCTGAAATTTTTACTATACAAAGGTTTTGGAAGTTTCATTTAACAAAAAAAAGTAAAAGATGAGTGTTACGAAAATGGAACAATATTAATTGTGTACTCAACATAATAACCGATCGGACTCTTTGAAATTGATCAGCGGGCATTTTATCAGTGAAAGATTTTAGTTAATAAATGATAGTCTTCATGAATTTAACCCTTTCCGGTCGGCTATTTGAAAAATGCCGTATCCCTATAGGGAAAAATGTTGCCATATAGCAACATCCGGCCAGAAAGGGTTAACGGTACTCACGAACACATCATCTTGCTTTCTCAATTCAATAAATAATTCAATTTATCTTTCATTCGTTTCTTTTCAAGCATTAAAATTTTCTCAATGTTCTAATCTATAAATACAATAATTGTGAAGTTCTATCATATAGAAATCCGTTTTTTTTAAAGAAATATACTTTTAATAGCGTTATTCTGAGCTGGACCGAGTCCGTCGGGCAACCATGAGCAATTCCTAACTTAGTATCGATCAAGCTTAAGTTATCAAAAATTGTCCCTGTTTCTAGACTTATTTTCACTTAATATCATACTTGAAATCTTTGCCATTTTTTATAAAACATTCAAAACAAAACTAAATAAAGAAGATAAGTTGATCACTTATTAGATATTATATTTTAGGAGGATAGATAACAATAACTAACAGATATAATCATTTATATATATATTGCAAAACGATTGTGTACTATACATGAAATTCTGAATATAATTTAATGTCTATTACATAGAGCATCTATTTATAAGATATACCATAATAGGAGAAAATGAACTTATTTGTAAATAAGAAAATACTTTCTTTTTTTATTAGGGTTCTGGTGGCTTAGCTGATATTCTTGCTTGGGCTTGTGATAAGATTCGAAGTGGTGGAACATGTGTACAGAATTTTGAACCAAAGTAAGTTGAAAAAAATATAATCAAGAAAAAGAGAAAGAAATATATTTTCTATTAAAAAAAAAAAACCTTAATTCAAGAATATTAACAAGAACATTTCTTCGAGAATTAAAAGTACTTGTTAATCAACTACTTGGTAATGATTTAACTGATGACTTAATAACATTAATTACTTATTTGGCAATAACTCGATGTAAAAAAGTACGTGTTTGTGATGAAGATGATGATCTTTCTTTATATCTTCTTGAAGCATTAGTAACAGGTTAATATCTTTTATTGATTTATTTAAAATTTCTGATTTTTTTTGCTTTTTTGTATAGAAAATCAAAGTCAACGTTTATCATCATTGAAATTGCATTTATCATTAGCTTTTGATTTAAATCAACCAAAATTTGCTAGTCGAATGTTACGTGCAAATCAAGATATGTTAGAAGAAGTAAAGTATTGAAATATTTAATGCAGCGCGAAGCAGAGAATTTCTTTAGAACATCACATATGTATTCAGTCTTTATACTTTGCGGATTTTTTGTCATACTAAAACCTCTACTCTGCATCGCAATAATGTAGCGAGCGCAGAGTCATTATAAATTCGTTCAAACTTTGTCTTGAGATGATCCAAAAGTTTGTTAAGTCTTCAATAAGTTCCTCAAAATAGCGATTTGACCTTCATTTTTTATTCGAGATAATAAAAAAAGTGGTGAGCTAGTCTTCGGATCGCTGCTATGAGCAGAATTGACCATGAAAAACCTCAAGAGGACAATGTCGACTGCAGATGAAATCGTTTACCGTTGTTATTTGAATGCAAACTTCATTGTTAGAATTCGAAATCGCTTCGCATAGATTTTATTTAGCCGTTGGCGAGGTTTTTTTCTTTGTTTTACTTACTAGACATACTTGTTCACAGCGATCACTTTTGGTCGCGATGATACCGAAAATGAAATGTCAAAAGATACTGGTTCAAACGTGAAAATGAAACTTCATGATCAGATCTATCCTCCTCATTTTCCAGTCTTCAACAAGATGTTTCATTTTCTTACAGAAAGCTAAGTAGACAGGCAAATTTTTGTAGACTTAGCTTTTTTCAAACTTTGAAACAATTAAAATGATGATAAGATAATTTTATTCATCAAAGCTTTATGAACAAACTAAAAATAGATAACTAGTCATATAGATAATGAAGCTATCAATTCACACTGTCTGCTAAAAACATATTGATACGCGTTGATAGAATTCTTGTAGTAACGAATTTTGTCATGTCTGTTTTATCATTTGTTTTATACTTCAATTATCAGATAATTCAAGTTTCCAATACGAGTGCCGCACAAAGGAACTCGTTGCTGTAAACTGTAAATATCTCTGTCAGTTTCATTGTAAAAACGATTATTTGTTTTTACAATATATCGATTTTTCCGATAATGAACATTCGTAGCTTCGCACTGCATTTCGCAATCGAGTGAAACTCGAATACCTTTTAGTTTTCTTTTACAATAAAACAGCGAATTAAAATTGTTTACAGGACTTGATACAATTAGCTAAAATGGCAATTATACGAGATCAAGTGGAATTTCTTCATGTATTAGAAGATACTTGTGGCATAACATCAGATGATCTTGGAGAAAAATTTGAATATGAATTAAGTTCAAACATGGTTAAACGAAAAAGAAAAAAAAGGATTTGTCTTATTAAATTAAATTAACTTTTTTTTCTTCTAGAATTATAATCATGATCTTTTTCTTGAACGGATTCAAAAAGATTTTGGGTGTAATCTTGAAGATGTTTATCGAACAGTAAATTCAATCCGAATAATAAGAATATAAATTTAAATTTAAAATTTTTTAGGTCGATGAAAATAATGAAACAGCAGAAGATGAAACACAATTAATTAATGTTAAATTATTTTTATGGGCAGTATTTTTTGATCATTATAATTTATCATTACATTTTTGGAGACGTCTTAATGTAAGTTTAAAATTATAATTTAACATAAGATAAGCTTATGAATAAGAGTTCTTTTGGTCATTTAAATATAAAAAATAACATTTCTAAATTTGTGATTATTAATTCATTTTCAAACTGTTGTCATCCACTGTACCGTGTCTTACACTGATGTATCAAATAATTCTAACTTGAAATTTTGAGCCAAAATCTCAACAAAATAAATGTTTGGAAAATAAAGTTAAACATAACACCGTTACATATTGTAAACTGGTTAGAATCATCACATATTTACCACAATTTCATCTAACGTTACTTTTCTAAATACTTATTTGTTAGAGTCTTTGACTGAAAGTGGGTGGGAGCATATTTTACTCATATTCAAAAAAAAATCGATTCAAAACTATATCTTAGAAGTGTAGAAATTGCATTTCATAAAAGGATAAATTTTGTTTTCTGTTTGACAACTCTGTAGCAATTGAAAATATTGCTTGATTTTACATTCTATGAAAAAAATATTGCTTTTAATTTATTTCTTGTTTTTCCATTTTATATTAGGATCGATTATGTGGTGCACTTGTTGCTGCACTTGTCTATCGTCGTACGGCTGATTTATATGTAAAACAAAGTTCATCAGAACTTGTTACTGTACAAAAACTAAGGCATCATGCTGAGTAAGAAAGTCGAATAATTTTATTTTTCTTATTTAAATTCTATTTTGGATCTATTCAATTATACAAGATATATTTTAAACAAAGATGATTTTAGTTTTAGTACACGTTTCTTTGCCTTTGTTTAATAGAATATATTTGACTTTTCAATTAGATTTAAATTCTTTTTTTTGTTCTTTTTATTCTAGTGAATATGAAGCTCTTGCTATACGTCTTCTTCAATGTCTTTATTTATCTAATCCAAATATGGCACGATTTTCGTTAAAACGTGAAAATTTTGAATTCAATAAATTCTCATCATTGGAGGTTGCCAGTATGTTTTTAATTGTTTTTAAAGTATGAAAGATATAGTTATGGCGTTTTAGTTATGTCACATAGTGAAAATTTTGTTGGACATACAAGTGTTCAAGAAGTATTTGATGTTATTTGGAGTGGTAAAACAATTCAGAAAGTAATTGATATTTTTTAAATTACAACTTTTATTGTTCTATAAACAAAATGATCTAAGCTGTTTGGATTTGATAGACTCTTTGACAAATTTCTATCCAGATTCATTGAATAGAATTGTAAACCATTGTTAATATCTGATTAGAGGTCAGAATTTACTGCTAAAATGAAAGTTTCTTCCTCATGAAGAAAAATCCTTCGAAATCTCTCTCGCTGTCAAAATCAAGGTAAACATCGCTTTATTTTGGGCATACATATATAATTAAAAAGATCAAGAAAGAAACAAAACTACTGTACTCAAAAACCTTTATATCAAAAAAAAATTCAGTCTCATCATTTACGGATATTATCCTAGTCTTGAAATTTGCACATTTCAGAAACTAATTGCAATATTCTCTATCGACAAATAATTCACACAACTGGCACATAATCTTCTTGTTCTAATTTCTACCAACGACAAACTTTTCTATAACCCATAGTTTTCTAAAAATTTTCCTTAGGCATGTGGACGTACACGGGCAAATTCTGTAGGTCTGGCACTGGGATTCATTCTTGCTATTAGCCCAAATGATATCTTCTACATCTATCCGCGTAAACTCAATTCAGTAGCAGCGCGGAAGACATCGCAGATATTGCACAGATTCATGTGACCAGAACCACACCCTATATCTCCTATGTTAGTACTTAACTGAGTTTCCTAGAATATTCTGAAAAAAACATCTTATCGATGAGCTAAACCATATTGAGTTACCAATGGTGATACATCTATTTTTTTTTCGACTATGGATGATAATGCTGAAATACGATTGATACTAGAACGACGTTTTACAGCGATAAATCCGTACGAAATAGTTATATAAATTACAAAAACATGCAAACCAATGTTTCAGAAAAGTATATTGAAGAATTAATTCGTTTTGATTTCTTGTGATACAAGACAAATAAAATGTGAAATGTATTGAATTCGATAACTCTTATTATTGAACTTTTAATTGCAATAATGTTGACATTGACATTTTATTCTTTAGATTGAAGAAAAAAATTTCGATCGAATACATAAAAATACTACTTCTTCATTCGGTCAAGCTACAACTGGAATTCAGTATGATAGATATCATTATTTATATTTCAAAACGATAAAAATTCTATTTGATTATTTAGAGCAAACGATAACAAAAGTCTATTAAAATATATTTTAACAATAAAAAATAAATTAGCTCGACCACGAGTTAAATATCAAGTTCATCTTTTATTTTATATGATTTTCTTAAGTCTTCTATCATATTTTGTACTTTTTGGTAAATCATGTTTATATAATGTAAATGAAGAAATAACATTGTTAACATTAAATGATACATGTTCACAAAATAATACATTATGTGCAATAACAAAATCTTCCAACCCATCATGGTCATTTTTAAAAATGATTATTAATATTTGGGTATTTATGTTTGCACTTGAAGAATTTCGACAAGTAAACAAAATTGAAAACAAACAAAAAAAAAATTGATCTAATACTTTTGTTTTGTCTAAAGGTAAAATTATTTAAAACAAAAGATAATGGTGTAAGGCAAACATTTATGCTTTATCTTGATGAATCTTGGAATAAGCTTGATAGTCTTTGTATTATTATGTATGTTGCTTCCATTATGTTGGAAATTTGGCATACCGAAGCAACATTAAATGCAGCAAGGTTTGTTTTATTTTACTTTGAAGAATTATAAGATTTTCTTTAAATAGAGCATTTCTTGCTATCGATGTCGTTTTATGGTTTATACGTTTATTAATATTATTGATGATTGATCGTACAGTTGGACCAATACTTTTGATGATTCAAGCTATGGTATGAATAATGTGTGTTTTAAATAAATTGATAAAAGCATGAATTTTGATTACATGAATTTGTTATTTTGTATTGCTTGTTTTTATTTAGCTTAATGATATGATGACATTCTTTTCGATATTCTTTGTCTTTACATCGGCCTATGGTGTTGCTTCATACTCGTTGTTACAAAGTAGAGAAATTCCATTTGGTTTTGCAGTTTTTCGAAAAATTTTTCATGCTGCTTATTGGTAATTTGTTTTAAATCCAAATATTTGAATTATACATAGATGCTAACATCGAAAATGAGATCAAGTCGAATCTTGGATTGACTTAGACAAGTGTTGGATCCGAGATTAAATGTGTCTAATATCAGACTGAGTGAGACATTTATATTCAAACTCGAATTAGTCTTTAAAACGATATCGTATTGGAATTATTATCGATGAACCAAGAAGAAGCTATGGTTTTTTTTTTATCATATATAGCTATGAGTTAATCGATTGAGTCAGAGTCTTGAACTGGCGAAAAGTTTCATATACAAGAACTTTTTCAATAAAATACTATCCATAACTGTTGGAGTTTTTACTTAATTCGCACATTAATGATTATATTACCTGAACTAGCAATGTACCCTCTTAATTTCTGAAGAAGAATCTGAATCCGATATTAGGCAGGTCGGATATAAGAAATAGATACTGACCTAAACAGATTTGAGATTGGATGCTAACGTATATATATATGTATACATTTATATAGGCATGTCTTTGGTCAAATTAATGATCTTGATGATGTAAAAGGTACTAAGAAAAATTTTAAGATTACTTTTAGAAAAAAAACTTTTTGTTTTAGATAATTTTGAAGTAACTGGATGGGCAGCTTTTGTACTGCTAGCTTTTTATATGGCTATTAGTAATATCGTATTGGTTAATTTACTTGTTGCTATGTTTTCGTAAGCGATTAATTTGTCTTAATAATAATAAACCGCTTTGTTGTTTTTTTTAAGCAACACATTTGATCGAATGTATGCAAAAATGGATACATTATGGAAATTTCATCGGTAAGTTTTTTCAAAATGAATATATTTTCTGTTTTTCTTTATTGATTTGTTTGTTTTTAATCTATTAGTTATCATATCATCAAAGAATATACAATTCTTTCTCCATTACCTCCGCCATTGAATCTATTTGGTACAGCAAATTATGAATTAAAACCATTTAATCGTAAGTTTCAATATTTACAGAAAAGGAGAAAAAAAATGAGAATCAATTTTTGTTATTGAACTTATCTAAATACTTCCCTTTGTTTTTTTTCTCTTTTCGTATTATCTTCTATGTTCTAGGACAGACATCATTCATAGGTGAGTGCATGTCTTCCTTCTATCATGGTCATAGATATGTTTATATCCTTGGCTTTCTTTTACGATGGTTGTATATGAACTATGCTTTTCCCTAGCTTTCTTTATTGCCTGCATAAATATTGAAGCACACATGTTCATATATACATGTAAATGGTTAGTTTTTGAATACTTTTGTCTTTCTAGCAGAATTGTCATCTGAACAAATATTAAATTTACGACGACGTGAAGCACTTGCCTATGAAAGTGATGTATTTGACCAAGCAACAAAAGAAAACCAATCGGATGTTAATCGACAAGAAAAACTTGATTTGCAATTACGTCACTTACGTAAAATGATTTCACTTGTTAAAGTTACATGTGAAGCATCAACAATGGATGAATAAAATATTCTCATCACGTTTGTGTATATATGGATATTCTTTCTTCTCTTTTTTTCGTTTGTTTTTCATATGTATAAATACAAAGAATCTATTTTTTTTTTCGTGTATTCTTGCAATATAGTTTTCTTTTCCAACGAATATATAAATTAATTTTGCCCTTTTTTTTCAAAAAATCTCAATTAGTACATGACAAGGTACGGAAAGAATTTGTCGATAAATGACACAAAAAATATATTGATAATTCATTTAAAATCTAAAAAAAGAGGATGTTTTGCTTATGTAAAAAAAATGATGCATAAAAAAAAAACAATATTTTCAATATGTTAATCAATGTTTCAGTCAGCATCAGTGAATTGATTGTCGAAAAGACGGTCGTGAACTTGTGCCAGTCACTTCAAAATTGATATGAATACAAACGATGCCACGTATTATAGATGACTATGTTGATAGTGATGAGAATGGTGATAAGCTGAACTTTTTGTGATTGTGGACGAATTCTCCTACGAGGTAACTTATCCGATTGTTATCCTCCTTTTAAGTCACATTTTTCTCCTTGGTATGACTAGTTGTACACATAAGAATTCTAGAAGAATTTGTACCAGTGTCCTTTTCTTCTTGAGTTATGTTAATTTTACTGAATCTTCAGCCTATTACACATATAACGAAAAAACAGTAATAAGAAATCTTTGCTCAACATTTTTCACAACAATCAATCTCATAATCCTTATGATATTCTGTTGATTTCAGCTCAAATGGATGATTCCTTTTGAACATATGGGATGCTTAAACAATGAACTACGTTTGGAGTTTTTTGTAATAGAATATTTTTTTGGCTTTTTACAATAGTGTTATGTCAAAAGAAAAACATCTGCTTGATTGAGTTTTATCTGTACAATAAGTCATAACCATGCGAAAAATTTGAGCCGAAATAGATGATATTACTCGAATAAATTTTCTCATTAGCACAACACAATCATGTGCTGATGGATGCTTTGCGTCGTTAGGCGTTCGTTTGTATTGAAAATTTGAAAAAATACCTGTTTCATTGAAACAAGCAGATAAACGACTTAGCATATTTCACACCCGTCTGAATCAAAATCAAATCCATATGGACATGAAAAACTATAGTTGATCAAAAAACAACAATATAAGGACAGTCGACTGAAGTATATAAATGGAGACAGTGAAGTAACAGAAGTAATTATAGAAGATAAAACAACAAGAAACATGAATGGTGTATAATTAAAAAATATCATGTTAATAAAAATATTTGAACAGATTCATACAATTTATCGAATTGATTAAAATTGTCTCTCTTGAAAATGGAATCAACTGACAAAACATTTATTAACAAGATATATAACGATACATAGAATTTGTTGTATGAAATGAGTTTGTGGAAGAAGTATTATAAGAGTTAAAAGGTACATATATATCTAGCTGCTTAGTTGTCGATATTATCCTTCCATCAATTTTAATATGATTAGGAAGGTTTTTATGTCAAGATATTCTTCTTCTCTTTTTCTTTTCTGATGATTTTAACAAGGATTCAGTTGTCTCTAAATATTCATATTATATCTCACATTCGTTTGTTCTTGTTTGATAATCTTTCATATTTTTCAGTGATATTGATGATAAATTAACACCATCCTCATACATGATACAAACGAAAACATAAGCTATTTTAGTTTTTGCAAAAATTACACTGAATAGTTTCATGTATAGTTATGAATCAATGTTCAAAATATTCAAGTAAAAAGATTTGATCATTAATTACATCTGTTCTATATAAACTTGACAGCTGATGAGTATACCATCACTGGGCTAAGCCCTCTTGTATACGTTGGCTGCAGATCTTGAAAATAAATTCAAAAGTTGATGTCTATCATTTGTTGAACTAAACATTTAATGAACGACAAATGGCCTTTTCTCAACAGTAAATATTGTATAATTTTCTTCTTGTCACAGTAGGTTTTACGTGTGAGTGTGTATGTTGCTGCCAAAATATCTCTCATTTTTCTTTTTAGGCACCCACACTCTTTTATTATTTTTGTACTCAACAACAACATAAAAATGCACATTTTCTACTAGTTGACAGAGTAAACTGACAGAAAATGCAGTATTGAAAAATTTCTCAACAGTCATTCAATATCCAACAAATTCGACATTTTTTCGATATTTTTGATTTTCGACCTTTGACTCTTCGATGCTTTTTTTTCGATATTTTACAATTTTAACCTTTCACATTTGTATACATTAGTAGATGATTAGAATATAATATATTTTACATGATTTTTTATTTTGATTTAAGACTCATATAAACTTTATTTATAATAATTTATTTAGACAATTGAAATACAATCATGAGAAAATACGGTATTAATACAAAGAAGACTCATCTTCTAAAATGCTTAATGCAAAATGAATGAAATTTTAGGTTTCAATCTGATTGAATTAACTTCTGTAATGAAAAACAAAAGGTTATCCTATAATCTCATCCTTAATCTCGGTATTTTGTAGATGAAATACAATCATTCTCTATGAGAGCACCATTGTATTGATGAACCAACATGTATACTTTCTCCAATCCTATAATTGACGTGTCAAGTAACTACCGATGGATGATTGTACTAGCATCCAATTCAACATCAAATACTAAATTTCAGTTTGATGTATCGGAATCATTTTCTAATGTACATTAACAATCATGACATGAATGCAGAATTTCTCGTAATCAAACTATTTCATTTGCTTATTTTGTGCTACGAAGCGAAGTATATTTTAATTTTTTAATAACCCAACCGATATTATATTTAATCAAATAGAAAAAGAAATATTTGAAATTTTCATATTTCACATACCCAAAAAAGCAATTATTTTCTTTATTAATATCACGCAAAGCACCACAAAAAAGAAAAGAATAAAATAGTCATTGATTGAACAATAAAAAAAATGTAATCCTTCTTTTGTCTATATTCACAAGCTAGCATAATCTTCTTTGCGACAATACAGAATAACTGCAAAAATAAAAGCAAGTATTTCAACAACACCAACAATAACACAACCGATAATAACATTCTTTTTATATGTAGCTAATGTATCAACCAAACGATCATAACATCCTTGTGAATAAGCATTTATACCTGTTGTTGCACAGGTACTTGCTGCAGAGAAATTTGTTGGCAATTGAGTCCAACTTTTAGCTGCATCTAATGGACAACATGTAAAAGGAACAGTTAGATTTGTATAGTCTGGATATGGATTTTTTCTATCCCAATTTGTAGCACGTGAAAAATCATTTACACCAACAGCACCACAGCATTGTAAATTAAATTGAACAAAATCCCATGAAAGTGAAACTGAATTAGCAGATGTTGATGTATCAGTTGGTGTGCCAACATAAAATCTGGCAATTGAATCTCGAAGTTTAACAACAAGCTCTTCTCGAAATCGATTTTGATAGACAATAAAAATGATAAGAATGGCAATTTCAACAACAATTATTATACCAATAATAATTGCATAAAGAATATGTAAAAATCGAAAACCTTTTATTGCTCCACAACAACCTGAAAAAAGCAGAAATCGAAATAGAAAACAAATCATATATATGTATATGTTTAAATTTTTCTTTACCAAGAAATCCAATTGTTAATAAAACACCACCAATAATAATTATTGCAATAGCAAATACTTGAAAATTTGATAAACTTTGAGAATATGATGATACGATTTCAGGATTAAGCAATGGACCAAGTTGTTGCATTTTAGGATCTTTAAAAACATAAATACCAATAGCAAGTACTACAGCTCCAACGACAATAAATGCCAAATTAAAAAGAACAATAAGAAGCCGAATAAATTTCATGCTCAATGACATGCTACCGTGACCATGCCCCGATGCCATTTTTTATGCGTTAGCTGAGTATAAAATCGATAACGGATAACGTTCTAAATAGAAAGAAAAAAGTAATGATAGATAACATGCATTACATACAGTTATATATAAGTGTCTCTATTCTCTCTCTATGTATTAAATATATATATAAACGTCTGTTCGATCGAATGAAGATGATATTTTCAGCTGAAATACGAACATTATATATATTTTTCTTTCTCTCTCCTTTTCTATTTCTTTGCAAAAACTTGTTATTATCATCGTCAATTACACTAGATGCGCCTACAGACAATGGCCAATATGCTGACACAGGATACCATTAAGTTTTTGTCTCTTACTTCATGATTTTCATTCTTTTTTTTTCTATGCTCTTTTAATATATGCGCAATGTAACAATCTGATGCCACATAAACCTAATAGAGCGTGGGTTAGAACATTTGTAAAAAGCAGAAAAAAACAACAGAATAAAGTGAATACGATAGGTTTATATTTCTTCTAAACGATGATTATTAGTAAATGTGAACTTCTATGACATTTGAGAGTGTGTGTAAAATGAAATGTTAATTATATAACAATTTGTTTACCTATGTGACTATAAAATGAAGAAAAAATATCGTTCGCTTTTTCGTTGAAGTGAGGTTCTTATTAACTGTGTTAATCCTGTTACATCAGACACAATTTGATTATTTTTCACTTGATTTCAACGAAGCTGGTAGTATAATAATATATTAATTATTATTTCTATTTTACATCAATATCAATAAATTAATAACATATGAATTGATGTGTTCATAATTTTATCATGATAAATCGTGTGAACATTAAATAGCAATAGATTAAGACATATTAAGTTATTTTTTTATTGAATCAATGAATATTCTTATTTTAAAAAAATATCCAAATTTCAATATTGAGTTGTAACATAACATTTTGAGAACAACATTGATTAATTCTCATGAAGAATGTAATTTGTTTAGAATATATTGACAAAAGGGCAGAGATAATCGCAACTGATTATATTTTTAACAAGGAGAACATGTTTTAATATAACGTACTATAATAATGATATTCATCATTATAATAGTACAAAATTCAAAACAAAAGAAAAATACAAGATTTCTTAGTAATTCAACTATCCTAACGAAATTCAACAATAATTTTCAATTCTACCCAAATATTCACTATTGTTCAGTTCCAACCATTGCAAGATTCAGTAATATCAGTAACAATAATTTTTGATCACCTTTTTAAATATTCTATTCGATGCAATATATTTAACATTTCTCTATCTATTGAAGGTTATGATCATATCAAAACTTTTTACATTCGTTTGTTTGCCGTTCGAATAAACTATTCTGATAATAATTCATGCATACCAAAATGTTAGCAATAAATTGAGTATTAATAATAATCAGTTAGAATGTCAAGGATGCTTGCTCGTTTCGACAACTTTTTTTCAAAGAAAAACACGACAACAACAACAATACAATATTTTCTAGCACACATATTTTCAAAGTATATAAAAAAAAAAAGTAGTAAGTTCAAAAAGAAAATTGTTTGATTATTTCAAATCAACTTGAGAATTGCCAATAATCGATCATTTACATTTTCATCACCGTAATACAAGACGATAGTTGGATGATTCGGTGATTCTAATTTTGTTACTATTGCTTCATAACGATCTTTATCTTTAAAAATATAATAAGGATATATTGAGAAAAACAAAAAGCCATTTGTATTATTCTTAACTTACATAAAAGTTCAAAACATTCACTATGAATTGCATCAGGCATTGAACTCATTGCTATTGTTGCTGGTAAACCAGAAAGTGAACATTCAATACAACATGGTGGTGATGTTCGAAATCTAAAATAAATTATAGAAAAATATATAAATACATATAGATAACAAAAAAAAAACTTACTTATCTGGTAAACGACGAAGATCTATAATCGAACAAAAACAAAAAAGTTACTTATTTATATTGAAATCAGATTTTCTTACCATTTCGTGAACATAAAATAACTACACCTGAATCAATACATAAGATATTAAAATTTGTACCTATTGCATTTAAACATCGACCACGAAACCATTTTTTTTCATGATATATAGCAACTAAATCTTGTTCTATAGGTCTATGAGGCAGCATAATTTAGATTAGAAAAAGAATTTCAATAAAAATTACATACTCAAAAACATTAGTTGATGGTTGAATAAGTTCATTACAAGTATTCATATCTTGAAATAATTTTGTGGCACGATTATAATCATCACCAAACATAATATAAACATGTGAATATGATTCAACATGACAAATAAAAACATTTGATAGATGTTGACCAACAAATAAACTAGTCGTACGTGAAGATAATACGGTATCTCTTGCCGAAGGTAATCTATTAGATATTCTTATTGGTTTTGATGTAGAAGAAACTTTCGAATATTTGACATTATTTATTTGTTTATTGTATTTTTGTTCAATAGCAAATTGTTCAGCATCTATAAAAAAAAAAAAAAAGAAAAATTCAATTACTTAAGCAAATGTTTAAACTTCTTTTGTTTGGCTACCTGTTAACATAAAATTACCAACAAATTGTTCATCATGTAATTCACCAACACCTGACTTTGGTTTCCATGATCGTTTAATTGGTGTTGATGGAGGACTTGGCTCTTTTTTATATTCAGCAATATCTTCTATCAGTGTGGATGAAGAAGAATTGGGTGCAGTAAAACGATGTTGTTTATCGATCACATCATCCGAAATACGTACTTCTAAATTTGACCAATTAAGTCGACCACGACGAGACCCCATATTAGAAGAAAAAGTATATATTTAACCCAATCGATTGATTTATATCAATTGTATACACATATAAACAACTGATGATTGTGATAGATGTACGACAAAGATAAAGTATACAAACAACTATAATGGGTATTTTGTTATAATCAGCTGTAAAAGTTAAGCACGTGATAAATATTCTTCGTTCTTTTCTTTGAAATATTCTTATCAATAACCTTCGGAATATATGAATTGAATTATTATTAAAAAATCAAAGAAAAGAAATCTATCATATAGTATGAAGATTTTTTTCTTTGTTTCCTTGTTTTCTTTGCATTCGTGTATGAATAAATCTAGCGAAGAAATAATGGAGAAATTTTTGATTTCATTGAGCATGATATGGAATAGGATTCGATAATATCAACGGTATATAGTGACATCTAATTTAACTGATCTGTTTCTATCGTAAAATCATTCCTTTACCATAGGAATTTATCACTAGATGTTGATTTTTTTATTTTTTCAGGCCTTAAAACACAGATATGATAAGAAAAAGCAAAAACACATCTAGATACTATTGACCCGAAAGTATAACGACTCATATAAGAGAAAGCAAAGAAACAACTAACACACACACACCTACTATTAACATAGATACTTTACTCTTTTGAAAAAACATATAATATAAGGTGTATAGCTATGGCAAACGGACGTGTAAGAATAGGAGGATTACAAATATCGAAAGTTCTTTTCAACTTTGTCAATCAAGAAGTTGTACCCGGCACAAACATAAATCCTTACTCATTTTGGACTGGTGTTCAAGCAATTATTGCGGAATTCGCACCTATTAACAGTACTCTTTTAAAAAAACGAGACGATTTACAAGCGAAAATTGATGAATGGCATCGAATACATAAAGGGAAACACAATGATACTACTGCTTATAAAGCATTTTTATATGAAATTGGTTATTTATGTCCACGAAATAATGCTGATAATTTTCAAATCAATACAAGTAACGTAGATGATGAAATTGCTGTTCAAGCTGGTCCACAATTAGTTGTTCCATTAATGAATGCACGATTTACATTGAATGCAGCAAATGCTCGATGGGGTTCACTTTATGATGCTTTATATGGTACAGATGCTATTTCAGAAAATGATGGTTGTGAAAAAACAACTAAATATAATAAAAAACGAGGTGATAAAGTAATTGCATTTACACGTAACTTTCTTGATCAATATGTTCCATTGGCAAATGGTTTATCTCATGCTAATGCTAAAAAATATAGTGTAGAAGTTGGAGACTTGAAAGTAAGAAAATTTCTTCTTGTTTATAATTTTTTTTGTTTTTATGAAACATTAGATTGGAGATAACGTTTTTATTTCAATATATTTTATTATTAAATAGGTTACTTTACAAGATGATAAAGTTGTTAGACTACAATCTCCTGCTCAATTTGTTGGTTATCAAGGTGATGCTGATACACCTAAATCTATTCTTCTCATACATCACGGTCTTCATATTGAAATTGAAATTGATCGACCTAACAGTCGAAATGATGCTGCTGGAATTAAAGATGTATTTCTTGAATCAGCTGTGACTACTATTGTCGATTGTGAAGATTCAGTAGCTGCAGTTGATGCTGATGATAAAGTAGAATTATATCGAAATTGGCTTGGATTGATGAAAGGTAATTTAGAAGCTCAATTTTCTAAAGGCAAAGAAATAATCACACGAAAACTCAATCAAGATCGTATTTATATATCGAAAAATAGTACTAAATTACAATTACCTGGTCGATCTCTTCTTTTTATTCGTCATGTTGGTCATTTATTATACACTGATGCTATATTAGATAAAGATAATCGTGAAATTCCTGAAGGTATTCTTGATGTTGTTATTACAACATTAATTGCTTTACATGATCTCAAGGGTACATCAATAAATGGTATCAAAAATAGTCGTACTGGTTCGATTTATATTGTTAAACCAAAACAACATGGCCCAGAAGAAGTTGCTTTTACTTCATGTCTCTTTTGTTGTGTTGAAGATCTTCTTAAACTACCACGTAATACACTTAAAATGGGTATTATGGATGAAGAACGTCGTACAACACTTAATCTTAGTGCATGTATTCGTGAAGCAAAAGATCGACTTGTTTTTATTAATACAGGTTTTCTTGATCGAACTGGTGATGATATTCATACATCAATGGAAGCTGGTCCTCTTATACGTAAAGGTCAAATGAAAGAAGCTAAATGGTTAGCAGCATACGAAAAGAGTAATGTAGATGTTGGTTTAAGACATGGTCTGCCAGGAAAAGCTCAAATTGGTAAAGGAATGTGGGCTATGCCAGACATGATGGCAGCAATGATACAACAAAAAATTGTTCATCCACAGGCTGGAGCAACTTGCGCTTGGGTTCCATCACCAACTGCAGCTACTCTACATGCTTTACATTATCATCAAGTAGATGTTTTTGCTCGTCAAATTGAATTATCTTCCACATCTTCACTATCAAGTGATTATCTTGATGATCTATTAACAATTCCACTTCTTACTAAAACTCTTTCATCGGAAGAAATTCAACGTGAATTAGATAATAATGGACAAAGTATACTTGGTTATGTTGTTCGTTGGATTGATCAAGGTATCGGTTGTTCAAAAGTACCTGATATAAATAATATTGGACTAATGGAAGATCGAGCGACATTACGTATTTCTAGTCAATTAATTGCAAATTGGTTACGACATAAAATTGTTAGTAAACAACAAATAATACAAACGTTTCAACGAATGGCTCGAGTTGTCGATCAACAAAATGCAGATAGTTCAGATTATCAACCGATGGCAGTTAATTTTGATCAGAATATAGCTTTTCAAGCTGCACTTGAACTTGTACTTGATGGAACTATACAACCAAATGGTTATACGGAACCTATTCTACATCGTCGACGACGAGAATTCAAAGCTCGACAACAGCAAAAACAACAACAACAACAACAACAAGAGGGATTGCAAGGGAAGCCGGCATTACCACTTCGTAGTTCTCTCTGATACACTTTGCTTCAAAGTTTTTTTTTTCATATCAATTAATAAATTGATCGTACAACATCTTTAAATCTTTCTAAGTAAATCTATTCATTTTTTTTTATAAAAACATAAATGAAAATGACTGTATTGAGACTTAAGGTGCATTATATGGCTGTTGTGATATTTTTGCTACGAACTTTTCTGATAAATAAAACATACAAATTAATGATATATTGTTTGTGACAGTTCTAATTTTGATTCTATCTCAAACAATAATAATAGAAAGTATATTTTTTTTAATTAATGATTTTACCATCAACTGAATATATAGTTTCTATTTAGAGGGTATAATAGATATCAACAATTTAAACCATTATTTATTATTAGGAAAGACGATTAGTTTATCTCGACTATATAGACCAAATTTTTCTTGAGTTAATGATTCGATTTTCAATTGCCGTGACGTCCTTGAGAAGAATCGGATGAGCAGATTGTTTGTTGATAACGATAATAGTACCAGTATTTATATCTCATTTAAGCCTTAACAGAATCGCAAAATACTTTTTATGCTTTTTTATTTAGTTTTCAGATAATGCATAACATACGTTTCGTAAATTTTTAATCATGAAATATAAGAGATGATTGTACTGGAAGAACTATCACGATGATAAAAATAAATATATTACACATTTGACTTTGTTCATGTATAATATTTAAATACTAAATTAATTTATATTAACAAGAGTATTATTCATCTGGAACATACTAGTATTGACAAACATTTTCAAGGATAGCATATTCAAATTTTGTTCATCTAGAGTAACGATGTTAGATTTTCTTGAAATGTTTGATGACTGTAAGTTAACCATATAATATTGACACATTTTGCAATATCATTTTCTTTCATATGTATCTAAAAGATAATATGAATATCAAGTTTTCCCAAGTTTATTTGAATGTGTAGAAAAATATATAAAAATTAAAAGTATTTTCTCTTGTTTTCATCATCACAATGAACATGAATTAATACATGAAAGTCATAAAGCTTTTTTGAGTAGATGCCAACATTGATATTGTAAGTTTTATACTGTCAAACACTTCTATATACTTGAAAACAATCCATTATTTAGTTTCAGATTTTCACTTGCAACCTCTACCAAATTTTGATATCGACTTTAAGACACTTCTGTACAACTTTCTAAGTCACTTTGATTGTAAAATTTCAATGTCAGTTTATAATACTTCGTAGTCTTGTTCATATGTTCTTGTTTTGCTTATATTATGCAATGATGTTTTGTTAAGATTATGATTATCAGCAGAATGTATATTGTTACTATCTATTGATTTCTTGGAATGATTGAATACTGTTTTCTGAGTGACCTAGACATGTATAAGACGTTCTTATATCAAATGATACATTTAATTTAATTCTAGCCTTTATTATGAGGTGTTTTTAGATGTTTCACTTTTGGCAAGCCCCCCCAACATGTTCATATCGTGATAAGTGAAGTTGATGTTCTTTTTTGTTGAAATTTTTCACAAATTTAATGAACTTAATTTAAGGATATAGCTATATTAAAGCAATAGAACAGATGTATCTGTTGTCTTTTATTAATATTTACATCTATTCGACCTTGAACAGATGTATTCTGAATATCAGAATGACAGATAGAGATTGATCATCATTTAATATGTGTTTTGTTACTGCTAGTTGATGAATCATTGTTATCTATGTAATTGTGTTTTTTTCTAGTTATTATCAAGAGACTTGCGAGCAACACAAATGACGTCATGTCAACTAAAAATCTCAGATTTTCGATCTTCCTTATCATTTTAGCGAACTGTTGTGTAATATTACATAAATAAAAAAGTGTACACGATCTTTTCTCTTCTCTATTTCTTCATTCTTAAATATCTTTCGATAGCTATAAGCCTTCTATTATGGCAAAAGTATTGTCATGTGGTGTGGAATTTATACGAGGGATATTACTTCTGTTGAACGTGTTTTTTGCACTTGTTGGTCTTGGTTTAATTGGACTTGGTATTTATGTCAAAGTTGACAATAAAATTTCAGCAGTCTTAAGTAAATTTACTGAGGTAAGTAGTTTCTCAGGACAATCACTGGGGTTTCTAGCATTCGTTCTAATTGGTGGCGGTATTTTTACCATTCTTATTGCAATATCCGGTTGTCTAGGTAGGTACCTCAATAAACATATTACTTATAGTTTACTATTATTCTATATATTTATATAGGATCTTTATGGCGCAATCGATGTTTGTTATATTTGTATGCCATCATTCTTGGTGTTCTGATGATTATTGAATTAGTTGGTTTTATCTTAGCATTTGTATATAAAGACAAACTTGAAGATGTATACAGAAAAACTTTAACGACAGTCTTTGTCAATGCTCTAATCGCTAATGATACAAAAGTATTAGATGCTTTTCATGATATGGAAGAATCATTGCAATGTTGTGGTGTAAATGGCAAAACGGATTATACAGAACATGGAAAAGATGCCTCTAGTTGGTGTTATGAATATCAACAAGGCTGCTCTACGATTATTATTAACACGCTTAAGAAAAATTTACCAATCATTGGAGGTAGTTTAGGTGCTGTTTTATTTTTGGAACTATTCAGTTTCATTGGTGCTATTGTATTAGCTGTAGCGCTCAAGCATGCACCTGATGATACTGATTCATCAAGTCCTCGAGACGTGATCGCTCAGGTTATACCAGGTCGACGTCGTAATTATTATAAACTTTCATAAATAGACTAACAACTAAAAGAACCTAAACTAAAATGTTGATATATTAATTTTTTGATTCAATGCTATTTTTTACCTTGTTTATTTCTCAACATGATTGTAAGATAAATAAATAATAACAAAACAAAAAAAAACAAAAATCAAGTAAACAATAGAATATATTATCATTAAATTCATTGAAAAGATGCAAGCAAAATCATAACAAATACTAAATAGATCACGAATAATAACAAGGCATACAATAAATGTGTTTGATATACTATGATAACAATTGTAAGAAAAACAAAACATGGACGAATAGTATATTGAGACAGAAACAAAAATATGTGAAGATTGTTATGTTTTGATATAGTCATTATTTATGACGTTTTTCTATACCTTCTTCCAATTGTCGATAGAGTACATAACGATCTTTACCAATCACCGAGCTCTAAAATTATAGAAGTCAATAAGCAGATAATAACATAATCCACCATGAACAAGTATCTGCATAAGTGTCAAGGCTTGCTATATTGGAACGGAAAATGTTAGAAACCTAACTTTTTCAATGAAAAATAGGGCAAAGTATGTATTTGAAATGTATATTCAGAATAACACTTAGAACCTAGTTCTATACATACGTTTTGAAAATCATTAAAAATGGATAGTTATCAAGTTAAATATTTTCGTGCCTTTTCATGTTTTAACTTGCTTAATGTCGACTAAAAAAGAAGATAGGAAGTTCAACCTTGGAAAAAGAGTCTATGAAATCTAGGTTTTCTGCATTTCTAGGGTAGCCAGGAATCAACGTTAGAAGTAAGATCGGTAAATTCCATAGTTTTGACGAAAGCTTTAAACACTTGTAAGAGCATAAAGTTTTAAGGATGTCTGAAATTTGCAAGTTTTTGAGTCTTACAAGAATATGTATAGAAAATTAGAAAGATATATTGTATTGAGTTCATAACTGAGAGAACAAAAATTGAATAATAAATCTTATTTGGCGCCAATATCGACGTTATTCGGAACTTCAATAACTCTGAAGAATTGCATCCATTTGACTTAAGCTTGTTCATTATCATAATTAAAATATCTACTCAAAATTTATACCCTATTTGAAAAAATGAAAACAAACACATAAGCAAGATATGAAAGCATTCCTTATTTTACCTTCAAAATAGGCAATGTTTTAATGGTTTTAAAAATCATTCGAATTTAATTTATTAACATATTTCGTGAATTTTTTTTTGAATTTGTTTTTTAACGTACATACTTGGTTCTATTTGTGAGTGAAAAAGTTAGGCTCCTAGCATTCTTCAACATTTATCAGAGCTGGGCAAAATACTCGAAGAACTCGTACACGTACTCAAATATCAAACATTCTAGAAGATAGGAATAAATAAAATCGTTTGTTCGCCCCCAAAATACTTCAATGATGAATCTTAATATGATTTTAACGGTGCATGTCACGACGTCTTCCAATAGAATTCTCAAGCCATATGCGTATCCCTATTGCGATGATCGTGCTTTTGATGATCTCGTAGAGGAGTACGGAGTTACTTGAAAAACGGATCCAGAAGTGTTGTGAAATGAACCTTTGCAATGCTATCGATTATCATCCCTGGATTGATTTCAACAATGAAAAAAAATGAAATATTTGAGGACAGGATAACGGTCTTATCTGCTTTCATCTATTTAGATAAAATGTGCTGCAGTAAGATGATACCAGATACCTAATTCTCCTGTTCGAAGATGAAGCAAAATAGCTAATTTTTTCCGGCCTCGATCTTATGTAAAAAGGTACTTCTTTATATTCGATAACTATGCTGTAATGATGTTGAACAGCTATTCCGAAGTGATCTTACTGGAAATTCTTGTTCTTGAGCGCAATTTTTGCAGTACTTCTACTTAGCAAAGTCCCTACTTGCCCAACTCTGACATATGTGCGAATATTTATACATTGTAGGTTCGTTGTATATATACCGTATATAAATCAAGTCCATTCATATCCGATCGTAAATTAGTCACAGGATTTCGAAAAACAAGACGACACACGACTGGCATTTGATGTCCGTTGGCAGACGATTCGTTCTATAAGAGAAAAAAACGATTTGTGTTTTTTTTTCAATATTCTAATGATAAGATAAAATTAAAAATCTTCATTCATCTTCTTACCATTGGAGGTAAAAACATTCCAAAACTAAAACTATATTCCTT